AAATTAGATATATATATAATATATATATATATATATATATATATATATATATATATTGATCTATAATTTGAAACTTATTTAAAACAAACCTTTTTAACTAATTTTCTTAATAAATTCCATTAAAAATAAAATTTATCCCTTCACTTTTCCAGTTTAGACCGAACAGATATCACCCCGGAGAAGAAAACCTCGGCGAAGCCCTAATATTCTCATCAATTTCGTACAAGTATATACGTACACCTACATACTGACATATATATATATATATATATAGAAACACATATATGTTTGGGCATATAATATATATATATATATATATAAAAGGAACTGTATATCAGCTAATTTATCGGTGTCTCTCTGCTTTTTGATTGATGTGCTTTGGTGGCTCTTTTCTTCTTTCTTTTACTTCTTTCCAGCAAAATTTCTTCAATACGCAGCCCATGAATTGAAGTGAAATCTGCATCTTCTTTTCTGAATTCAGATCGAAACGTATACGACGTCGTCTCTGTGGACTGTGCCCTAAGCTTAAAGCTAGGGTTTCTCCGTTAAAAAAAAAAGACGCTGAAAATACACTAGCAACACCCACAAGTGAAGAAGGGAAGTGCATGATCTTTAGTTGTTTTGTTGTGTTGTGTTGTTTCTTCCTTTTCCAGTTTCTGTTCTTTGAGTGGCTTTGTCGGCTTGTGTAACCGATCATCCCCATCTACTGGCTCCTGAAATCCTGGTTTTGACCGACTCTCGATCTCTTGAAGAATCTTTCTTTGATTCCGGCGGATTAGCAGTGGTAGATGCGGCGGCGATGGAAGGCGGTTACGACCAGCACGGCGGCGGAGGGAGATACTTCCACAACCTTTTCCGACCAGAGATTCATCAGTTTCAGACTCAGCCTCCAAATCAGCATCAGCAACCGGATTCGGACGATTCGAGGGACTCGGGCTCCAACAAGGACAACCACCACCCGGGTCAACCCGATTCCGACCCGGCAACATCCAGCTCAGCACCGGCAAAGCGGCCACGTGGTCGGCCTTCGGGGTCGAAGAACAAGCCCAAGCCTCCGATCATAGTCACGCGAGACAGCCCTAACGCCCTTAGATCTCACGTTCTTGAAGTCTCTCCCGGCGCCGACATCGTCGAGAGCCTTTCTACCTACGCTCGACGGAGAGGGAGAGGAGTTTCCGTACTCAGCGGCAACGGAACCGTTGCTGACGTCGCTCTCCGTCAGCCCTCGGTGGAGGCCGGAGGAGTTGTGAGCTTACATGGACGGTTCGAGATTCTTTCGCTGACGGGGACGGTTCTGCCACCACCTGCACCGCCGGGAGCCGGTGGTTTGTCGATATTTCTCGCCGGAGAGCGAGGACAGGTGGTCGGAGGGAGCGTGGTGGCGCCCCTGGTAGCATCGGGTCCGGTGATATTAATGGCGGCTTCTTTCTCCAACGCTGTCTTCGAGAGGCTTCCGAACGAGGAGGAGGCGGAGGGGGGAGGCGGAGGTGGAGGAGGAGGAGGTATGCATCACGCGCCGCCGCAGTCAACACCTCCGCCGACGGTTTTGACAACCGGAGGAGGAGGAGGAGGTAATGCGTTTTCCGACGGCCCTCATTTCCTCGGATGGGGAGCCGGAAACGCTTCACGACCACCTTTTTAATTTTTCAATTTCAATTTAATATCGTCTTTCGAATTTTATAAATATAGTTTCTTCCTTTAAAAAAAAAAATCGTTTCGGCATCTTTCCATGGATCGTTAGTTATTTGATCAACTAATTTAATTTTATATTATATTGATTCCGATTGAAATCCATGTTCGAATTCGGTGTTCATCAACATTGACGTGGTAGATGTTAGAGAGAAGAGGTTTGCCAACTGTGGTGACCTTAGGAATTCCTCAAGGTTACATTGATGTCGCCTGTGTTTTGTGCTATTGGTCTATTCAAATATTCTAAATTTGTGAAGAAATGGATCATATATTGCCAATTTTACAACAAAGGTTGAGGTTGTCAAAATATTCTTCTTGATCTGTGTTTTTTTTCCCACAAGCCGTGAAACCCTTTATATAAATGTACCCTGCGTACTCTGATTTATACATATTCATATTTTTTTTGGAATAATCATGAGATTTACTATACCCATAGTTAAATTTTTAATCACGCAATTAATTGCAATCGAACTACATATTCATATTTCATTGTCTGTAAACTGTATCATTTATTTGATTTTATATGGCATACATGTAGAATTAGACATACATCATTATATAATATGCATATGATGATGATGATCATGATCATGATCATGATGAAATATATCTATCTAGATAACACTATATTTTTTTTTCATTTTCATCTAAGAACCTCCAAAGGGTAATTGGAAACTAAACACTAAAATACTCAACTCTTATGTATAGCCAATGTAATGTATCCAAGAGAATTTGCAAGTGAAGAGCAAGAACTATTAACACTAATACTAGCAAATCTAAACACTATGATAAAATCGGATTTATTCAGTTGGTATATGTTTATATATATATATGCATGTATATATTGTTGGAGTGTAAAAAAAGACATGAGATATGGGAATGAATATGTTCAACCGACAAGTTCACATGGATTTTTTAGGGCTTGCCACTTGTAAAGAGGAAGACATTGCACTTGGAAACTTTATGTTCATTCAAACTTGTAGCTTTTGCAAATGCCCATATAGAGTTCATGTGCCTCTTACATGCAATTGAGCTACATACATACATGCATACATACATGCATACATGCATACGTACGTACGTACGTACATACATGTATGTGAATGTGATGATTTTGCCATTGTGAGCGATCTACGGAAGGAAATCAAGAGGTTCTTTGCCACCATATACCTTCTCGTTATCATTTTTTTTTATTAGCTTTATTTCGATACACGCATATATATATATATAGCACCTATAAAAGAGACCATGATCAAATTTGTTACTTTGACCTTCCACTTGACAGTATAAATGTACCTCTCTTGTATTCTTTTGCAAAATACCCCTCCCCCTATAATTTTCTTACCAAGAAAAATATTTCCGAAAATAAAAATTCGAAAAAGAAAAGGAAAAAAACACAATCCTAGCAGATTTGAATTATGAAAGCAGCACGATCACATACAAAGCCCATCATCTCGACGGCCCAATGAAATTTAATAATGCACACTTCCGGTCCAATTGTTCCTCTTACCAAACCAATTACAGATTAAAACCACCAAAATATATTAAGAAAAAAAATCAACAAAATTGAAATCTGAATCAATCGGGTGAGTGAACTGGAATAGTTTCCCATTTTATACCCACAAGGCTAATTATAATTAATTAATTCACCAAAGCATCCATTCTCCTAATTCTCAACTTCTCTCCAACAAGGAGATCGGAATCATAACGTTTCCTACAACTAAATAGTTCACCAGACAACTACAAAGTCCACGAGGCTCAAATCTCTAGACACATTTTAGTTCCGACACAAACTAATTCCTAGTAGGACAGAACAGGATCAGAAGATCAAGCTTCACCTGAGGACACAAGGAACAAGGCTCAACAGGTCAGTGAACGGTCACTGCTCGAACGGGACTCGTATGAACAGCCTCCCGTGAAGGCTCACCACCGCAGATGTGTGAAGCGGGTCGATTCTCGCCGGTAAGTTCACAATCTGGCGTAAAACAACGACAAGGATGAAAAACTCGGGCTCGACTTTGATAATCACCTAGTTAGCCCGAGGCGTTCTGATTCTCGGGGACGGAAAAAAAGTTTTTACCTTTTTGAATGGTGTGATGCCCCATGGATTCTCGAGCTGCTCCGGTTGACCCGTTATAACTAGCCGTCCTGCAGGATCTGATTGAACGCGGACCTGTAAAAATAGAAGGAGAATTCATGCAAAAAGAATGTGACCCGAGACAACAATGGCCATGAGAAGTTGTATGCATGAGATTAGAACCAGTTTCAGTGTTACTTGAAAGAGATTTTTAGTATATAAAACGAAGAACGAGTTCTTGAATGCTCTATGCAAACTCGGAGGAATCAGTCCACACTGAACATTCTCCATATAATAGGAGGCTTTATAAGAAGGTCGAAATGATATGCCATGGAAAAATGAAGGATGTGCTCACCTCCTCCCGAAGAAGACCAGGAACCAGGGCATATATCTCAAAGCAATCTTTCTGCAGATTTAAGATTTAAATATAATAACACTGGTCAGATCTTAGAGAGGAACCCAAAGACCAGGTTACAGCGTTAATGCTTTAGCTTTCTAACTTATCTCGGGTCTCTCCATGTTTTTAGACCTAAGGGGCATGCTGGATTAACAAGGAAAAAGGCAGAAAGCACTTACGGTTTCTCTGACATTTATCTTCACCCAGTCAGCAGGCGGTCCGACATCAATAACTTCAGCTACTAATCTATCAAATAAAAACCAAATTATTGGTCTCTTACATCAATTCGAATAGAGTCAAGAAAAGAATCTCCTGAAGAAGAATAGCAACTGAAGGTCAAATTAGTAATAGTTCAGCCTAGAACTAGAAGGACAGTTCCCACATTCCAACACATAAGAAATAATAAACAGTTTCTTCAACTGATCGAAGACATTGTGTGTCTTGCAAAAATTCAGAAAAATTCAGAAATAGTGTTTCAGTAAAGACACATCTATGCAAAGGAGAGGATTAGCTTTCTTAACTGTTTGTCTCCTTCATGTGAGACAACAAGGTCCATGCTAGTTGGTGTTTTGTGTTTCTGCACACCTGGAAAAAAAATTTTAAACAAGATAGATAGAGCAAGACCATTCACAGTTAAATCCTTGGAAAAAAAAGATGTCGTGACTTTGAAACATTTACCAATACTTTTGAGATTCTTCTGCTTCGGGGTTGAGTTTAAGCCCTTGTCCTGAAAACAAATACAAAAAAAAAAGCATAGTTATCTTAGATCACGTTCAAAAAAAAAAACCTTGGCAATAGGCTCACTAACCTCCCCGGATCCGAGAAGGCGTTGAGCATGCCAACCCTGCATAGCACGAGTTGCAGAATCTCTTCGGGCCCTGCCTGATCCTGAACCTTGATGGCTGATCACCTACATTAAAACCCATGTATTAATGGGAGGAGACCGAGAGAGAAAAATGAAAAAAAAGGAAACTTAAGTTTTGTGGCTCAAGTAGAAAGGAATATCATTCTGGAAATTAGACAGTAATTAACAGATAAAAAGGACTATTCTGTGCTCAAGTAGAAAGATATATCATTCTGGTTCTAAGCTTGTGGCTCAAAGTGTATGCGGGTTTTACTCATCCAGGCTGCAGAGAGTTAATTACCAGGTACTATATATGTCAAAAATTCCTACCCCATGAAATATATAGAACAAAAAGCTGTGGAAACGCCATTCCACCTAGTTTAAATTTATAAATTTATCTACATTTTAGATGTCCCCCACCCACTATAAAACCCCACCAGGAAACAGATTAAGGTTAAAAAGGAAGAAAATTCCTCTCTCGTTTAGAAATTAGCAACAGCAAGTAACAAAAATGCGAGTTCTCTTTCAATCTTACAACAGGAAGAAACAGATGTCTTCATTTTTTCCACTGTGAAGCAGATCTGATTCTTCATCACAAAATACCACAACATCTATGCATAGATTCAATCCAAATGTGTGCATCTAACCAAACGCATAAAAACAGAACAAAATCAGGCTCAGTCTTACCTCCTTTTCAACACCAGAAGATGGACCGAAAACTGAACCAGGAAGGTTAAGTTGACCATGTTGCCTTAAAAACTTTTCATACTCCAAGAGTGCCTGCATGTGAAGTATAGAGAAGAATAAGTAAGAAATGCAAATCATGTAAGAACTATATCCATGTGGGAAGCAGAGATTAAAGAAAAAAAGGCCAGGAACATCCAGGAGGTCATAAAAACTTAGTCCAAAATAAACTTTCAGAAGAACATAGAACTAAACCATCTATTCTCAAGACATAGTAAAAAAGTGAGCACCAAGAAAATTGTCTAAACAGAACAAGTACAACTCCCAGGGAGGAGATATATGATACTTATGAAAGGTAAATGCCACCTTCTCATAGAAAATGCGGAAAGTCCAAGAAACTGTCGTGCATGTCCTGAATAAAGATAGTTGAACAAAAATTACAGAAATTTATATTATGTAGAAACTGGAAAAGGGGTAAAGTCAAAGGGCTACATCAATCATACTTCGGAGGATGGAAGGATTCTCCAACTTGCCGCCATAGCTTAGACGAGGTGACCTACATAAACATGAATATTTAAAACCATAAGACATCAGGATTCACCAGAATATGAACACGTCAGAGTCCAAACTTCTAAACAAAGCATAAGCCAGTAAATGAAACCACTGGCCAAAAACCAGAGCCAACATAGATTCAATATACCTGTTCAATAGATGCATAACTGCACAAGGAATTTATTTCCTGAAAAGTCATTCTCTCGGTTCTAGCTACGCTTCTTGTTCATTAACTAATGGAATTTATATTTAGAACTTATAGTACGTATGCTACGTGCTACCCAAAGCGTAAGATGGTGGCGATGTTATATGATGCATACCAAATGAAAATAAGATTTCATTGCGAGATAGGTGAAAGAAAGACTAAGATTTTACTAAATATAAAATCTTTCAAAGTAGGAAAACTGGTTAAATACCACGTCATAGCCACCTAATTTGATGACTGCTCGCCATAACCTACATTACATAGTAAAACATGCAGAAGTCAGACAAGGATTATCGATAAACAGCAACTCACGTAGAGCAACGGTGTCCAGCAGCAACTCACTTGAGACAATTTAAGGGCTGTCCATAAAATTTAGGGGCTTTAAATTCTAGGAAATGCTCCCTGTGGAAGCTCTCCACGTCCTTTATAAATGCCTCTTGTTCCTCTGGTGTCCCTGCTTCATCGGCCTCCCTGACCTGCAAAAAGAAAACAATAAAACATGTAACGACTAACGAGACAAAGCCACAGATCAATACAAATAATCTTAACCTCTAAGCCATTTTCCCTTTTATAGAAAGACAATTGCTTTCAACCTTAAAAACATAGATGCAAATGGGTGTTTTGAATCGAATTTAATCGTACAAACTGTCTCGTTACCTCAGATCCGGTCAACAACCAAGTCTTCCATTTCTTCGTACTTTCACCACCAGCATCAGGGGTCGAATGTTCTACCTCAGGAGGCGTTAGTTCCTCAGGCTTTGCCTCCTCAGGCTCATGATCATCACCAATACTTTTCTTTTCTGATAGATCAGCATTCTTACCATCAACACTGGCTTGACCACCAACCTTTTCATCGGCACCAGTTTCATTATCAACTATGGCGTCAGCAAAATGAACATCACTCCCCAAAGTAAGAGTATTGTCTTCGGGAACAGGGGAGTGAGGGTTTTCACTAGGGTTTTGATCTTTTTCTGGTCCCGCAGGTTCCTGTTTTGGATCTTTTGTCTCAATAGGACCAGCATCCACACCTGAAGCAACATCTTGCTCTTGCATTTCTGTGTCCGCCATAAAAAATTCCCTTCTGTAACAAGACCATACAATGTAATCAAGACGAAAAAAACCTTTATAACACAGCAAACATGCAAATCGACAGGACAAATTTACGATTCCCACAAACGCAAAAGGCAAGAACTTCGATCTCGATGTTTCCCACGGGAGGGAAGCGAAAACATCTCTACCTAGGAGAAAACGTGATTACAACAATCGAACCCAGGAAATATCTTGAGTTTCCTTGCCTCGCTTTCTCGCTCTGATTCACTACCCTCAAATCAACCAAAACCTCCGACAGGAAACGAGGACAACAATGGACAAAAGAGGACAAAAACTTCGAGAAACGAGGGAGTGAGGAAGAGAAGAAAAAAGGCTTGCCTGTTCCGCAGAGACGACGACGCCGGAACTCCGGTGATGAGCTAGGGTTTGCAGCCGGAGAGATTGAAGAATGTGGGAGAGAGAGATAGAGAAAGAGAGAGAGATAGAGAGAGAGGGGGGGGGATTCTTCTTCAATGGCGAGCGAAGAGATGGATGGGGTTCGCAACGGTGAGGAAGAGCCACACCCCCACCTTAATATAAAAATACCTTAGAAGTAATGGGACTGTAATCTTTTAAAAAAGGGAAATTTGTGGGGGATTAAAGGAAAAATAATAAAAAGATAAGTTTCGAAATTAACCAATTCTATTCAATCATTATCTTGTGTTTTTTTCTTTCTTAAATTTGATGTAATCTTTCTCCGAATATTTTCGAAATTAATCTTGTTTTCCATCAAATTTTAATAAGGAACTGAAAATTTTTTTTTGTAAAATTTGAGAAAATAAATTGCAAGATTTTCTAATTTTTAAAATTAGATTTTAACATATAAAAATAAAATAAATGAAGCATAATAGTTGAGGGATAATTTGCAGTGAATTTTTTTTCCTAATTAGATCAAATTTAAAAAGGTAAAATTTGATTTTTAGAGTTCTTGTGTTAAAGAAACAAATTAGAAAAACAGTGATATATTAATAATATAATATAATCTTTCGTTGCATCATATTTTTTTTAAATGTATTATTTTGTTAATTTAAAACATTAATCTGAAAAAAAATAGAAAAGTAAATAGCTATAAAATATTCAATAAGTATGAATTAGAATTAATAAGATAAAAACAAAAAAATCTTTTATTCAATAAAATAGGAAAAACTGTAAATTAAAAGCCATCAAAGAGTTTATAGTCTTTGTAGTCTTGTATTCAACACTTATGGAAAATATCTTATTTTTTTGGTTTTTATGGTAACGTATCACCGATTTCTACGAAATTTGGGCAAATTTCCACAACCCGTTTATTTTATGTATTGGTTTACTCTTGATGGGCCTTATTTGGGCCAAATTTCCACAACCCGTTTATGTATTGGGCCTTCAGAGTAAACGTGGGCCTTCGTAAAAAGACGACTGAGATTTTTAATTTATTTTTAATTTGAAGAAAATATCGAGACGTTAGGGTTTCGAGTTCGACGTTCCCGTTTGTCTCCTCGATTCCTCTAATTCTCAGTCTCGTCGTCTTCACTGGTGTGTTCTCTTTCTAAGCTTAAGCTATTGTCAATGTACTGTTTCATTTATCTGCGAATTTTTTTCCTGGTTGATTGATTGATTAATTTTGAGTTCGATAGATTGTGGTCGCGGATTACCATTTTTGTGACTGTTCTGCAAAGTTTGTAGATTTCCTGGGAATTGCTCGAATTCTTGTTGATTTTGTGTAATTTACTGATTGTTCGTCTTGGTTTGTAGGTTATCGGTTAAACCGTAGATGGAAGAAGAGAAATCTAAGTCCAGGAAGGATAATTTCGATGTAGAGAAGGATGATTTGAAGAAGAGTCACCGAGATCAGGATCGAGGTAAGGACCGGAAGAAGGATAAAGATTCGGAGAGGCGTCGGGAGAGGGACAGGAGACGCTCTGGGAGAGAGAAGAGTAGTGATTGCGAAGATGGGTACGATAGAGAGGAGGATGAAGAGAGGGATAAGCGTAGGGAGAAGGAGAAGGAGAAGGAGCGGAGACGTCGGGAAAGAGAGAGGGACAAGAGACGGTCCGAGAGAGAGAAGAGTATTGATTCTGGAGATGATGATAGAGAGGATGATGAGAGGGAAAAACGTAGAGAGAGGGAAAAGGAGCGGAGCCATCGGGAACAAGAGAAAGATAGTGGCAAAGATAGGAAAAGAGATAGAGATAGAGAGAGGGAGGAGAAAAGGAAGAGAGCGAAGGGGAAAGAAAGAGAACGGGAGGACAGAGAGAAGAGGGATTCTGATCGGGAGGAGAGGGAGGTGGAGAGAGATAGAGAAAGAGAAAGGCGGGAAGGTGAGAGGGAAGATAGGGAGAAGGATAGGAGAGAACGTGAGAAAGAAAGGGATAGGAGGAGTCGGGACAAGGTGAGGACACAAGAGTGTGATAGTGAAGAGAGTGATGAAGATGTCCGGCATCGTGACAGGAAACGCAGAAGAAGAGATGGGGAAGAACGGAAGGAAAGAGAGCACGAAAAGAGTGTTGGTAGATCAAGCAGGCATAGAGACGACAGTGAAGATAGTCTTAAGAGGAAGATTATTGAGGATGAGTCTGAAAAGAAAGAAAAGAAAACCAGGGAAGAAGAATTGGAGGATGAGCAGAGGAAATTGGATGAGGAGATGGAAAAACGGAGGAGAAGAGTTCAAGAGTGGCAAGAGCTGAAGAGGAAAAAGGAGGAAGCTGAGGGAGAAAAACATGGTGATGGGAATGATAATGAGCCCCAGGCTGGTAAGGCGTGGACTCTGGAAGGAGAATCTGATGATGAAGAACCCTCTACAGTTGACAAATCTGAAACAGAAATGGATGTTGATGGAGAAGCTAAACCTGGAAATGATGAAGATGCCATGTTGGTGGACTCTGAGAAGGGGATAGCTGCTGCTGCTGCCTCTCAGGAAGGAGATGATGGTGTGGATGCCGAAGCGGAAATTGATCCTTTAGATGCTTTTATGAATTCTATGGTACTCCCGGAGGTCGAGAAGCTTAGCAATGATGCCCCTCCCCCAATCATTGAAGACGATAATGTGGACACTAAGAAAAATGGCAAGCAAAACGGTGAACAACTGAAGAAAGGCTCTGATAAGGCTCTTGGTAGGATAATTCAAGGGGAAGACTCTGATTCTGATTATGAAGAGCCTGAGAATGAAGATGATCCGTATGTAGATGAAGACGATGAGGATTTCATGAAGAGAGTAAAGAAGACAAAGGCAGAGAAACTGTCCCTTGTTGACCATTCAAAGATTGACTACGAACCTTTCCGGAAGAACTTTTATATTGAAGTGAAAGAGCTCTCAAGGATGACCCAAGAAGAGGTGACCGCTTGCAGGAAGGAATTGGAGTTAAAGGTACATGGGAAGGATGTACCACGGCCTGTGAAATTCTGGTACCAGACTGGATTAACCAGTAAAGTTCTGGATACCATAAAGAAGCTTAATTATGAAAAGCCTATGCCTATTCAGACACAGGCACTTCCGGTTATAATGAGTGGTCGAGACTGCATCGGAATTGCGAAAACTGGGTCGGGAAAAACTCTCGCTTTTGTATTACCAATGCTGAGGCATATCAAGGATCAGCCTCCTGTGGTTGCTGGGGATGGGCCGATTGGGCTAGTAATGGCACCCACCAGAGAGCTTGTTCAACAGATTCACAGTGATATCAGGAAGTTCACCAAGGTATTGGGTATCAGATGTGTGCCTGTGTATGGAGGATCCGGAGTTGCCCAGCAAATCAGTGAGCTGAAACGAGGGACCGAGATTGTTGTGTGCACTCCCGGTCGGATGATTGATATTCTTTGCACGAGCAGCGGGAAAATCACCAATCTGAGGAGGGTCACCTACTTGGTCATGGATGAAGCTGATCGCATGTTTGACATGGGTTTTGAGCCCCAAATATCTCGGATTATTCAAAACATTCAACCGGACCGTCAAACTGTGCTGTTTTCTGCCACCTTTCCACGTCAAGTCGAAATTCTGGCTCGGAAAGTGTTGAACAAACCCGTAGAGATACAGGTTGGTGGAAGGAGTGTTGTGAACAAGGACATAGCCCAGTTAGTCGAAGTGAGACCTGAAAACGAAAGGTTCTGGAGACTTCTAGAACTTCTTGGGGAATGGTACGAGAAGGGGAAAATTTTGATTTTTGTCCACTCGCAGGAAAAATGTGATGCCTTGTTTAGGGATTTACTTAAACATGGTTATCCTTGTCTCTCTCTCCACGGGGCTAAGGATCAGACCGATCGAGAATCCACGATATCTGATTTTAAGAGCAATGTCTGCAATCTGTTGATTGCAACAAGTGTTGCAGCTAGAGGTCTAGATGTGAAGGAGCTCGAGTTGGTGGTAAATTTCGATGTTCCAAACCACTACGAAGATTATGTCCACCGTGTGGGCAGGACAGGCAGGGCAGGACGAAAAGGCTGTGCTGTCACATTTATCTCAGAGGAAGATGCAAGATATGCTCCGGATCTCGTCAAGGCACTGGAACTGTCCGAGCAGCCTGTTCCTGATGATCTGAAGGCCCTTGCCGATAACTTCATGGCGAAAGTGAAACAGGGTATTGAACAAGCTCATGGAACTGGTTATGGTGGTAGCGGATTTAAATTCAATGAAGAGGAGGAAGAAGTTAGGAAAGCAGCGAAGAAAGCACAAGCAAAGGAGTATGGTTTTGAGGAAGATAAGTCCGATTCAGAAGATGATAATGATGTTGTACGAAAGGCAGGCGGCGATTTCTCGCAACAGGCTACTCTTGCTCAGATAGCTGCCCTCGCTGCTGCCGCTAAAGCTACCGCTCCCATGACTGCTCCTGTGCCCGCCGGTCAGTTGCTGCCGAATGGTGGCGGGCTTGCTGCTATGCCAAATGTCCTTCCAGTTCCTGGCGTGGCTATTCCCGGGGCTGCCGTTCACAGCGATGGGGCAGCCCGTGCTGCAGCCATAGCTGCTGCCATTAACCTGCAACATAACCTGGCTAAAATCCAAGCCGATGCAATGCCTGAACACTACGAGGCAGAATTGGAAATCAACGATTTCCCGCAAAATGCTCGGTGGAAGGTTACCCATAAAGACACTCTGGGTCCAATTTCGGAGTGGACAGGAGCCGCCATTACCACCAGGGGGCAATATTTCCCACCAGGACGTGCCCTAGGACCAGGGGAACGCAAGCTCTACTTGTACATCGAAGGGCCTACCGAAAAATCCGTCAAGACAGCCAAAACAGAACTCAAACGTGTTCTTGAAGACATTACAAATCAGGCCTTGTCACTTCCCGGTGGAGCACAACCCGGCAGATACTCTGTCTTATAAGTGTAAGTTCCACTCTGTAATCTGATTTAATGTCTTTCATTCATATAATTTATCCGTTGATTGGTTTTAGTTCTTTTGTGCCATTTGCAACGTTTCATGCCCGAGCGTGCTACATTTTTCTCCTTTTTTGTGTGTGTGAATTCGGTGCCGAACACTTCCCCTCTTTTGCTTCACTCGAAATCTTAGACCTTAGGTAGCAATGTTTATGAAAACTCTTGAACTGAATATGCTGTTGTGATACCCAAGGTCTTCCCTTTTTTGATTTTTCTTCCGTTTTTTGTTGTTGTTGTTCTGTTTACCCCGCGGTCCCGAGGGAATCGTGCAATATCCACTCTATTCTCCGTGCATTACCCGTCGTGGCTGAACTGTCGAAAAAAGTCGGGTAAAAAATCTTTTTAAGTTCAATGCTTAAATGCTTTTGCCTTGCTCTGTTCCTAGAGTTACATTAACATCTCATAGACGATGATGCCATGTTTTACTTTCCGAGTTTTCATCCTCTTGTTTACATCTTTTTTCGGTATTGTGCTCATGCAGGCTCCTGGCCGGGAAATCGATCTCCAACACATTCCATCCTCGAGGTTATCCTCTCGATGGCAGTCGGGACCCAAACCCGACGTTTTTTTCTTCTTCTCCGGCCGAGAATGCAGACCGCGGGGAAGAAGAAAAGAGCGGAAATCTGGTATTTATTTTCTCTGCCGTTAAACACCATAGCTCCGAGGTGTGGCTTTACAATTTTTTATCCGATTCTTGTCGGAATTGGTGAAGAAATCGGCGGCCTAAAGGGGTTTAGGGATGAGTTAGGGAACAAGACTGACTATCTTCGCAGTTCCATGAGAAACCTCATTGCACTCTTCTTATTACTTGAATTCACACTACAGTTTTAGTTATGCGTAATCTGTTTTTTTTTTTTTTGTCGAAGTTCATACTTTCTTTGGTAATTAATTTTTTTTTCGTTTCTTTATGAAAATGTGTATCTGTACTTCTCAAAATTCAGAACTTGTTTTTATTCCCCTTTGAAATTTATTTTCCCACTATCGCAACTAATTTGTATTATAGCACATCGAAAACGACCATTTTACAAATTAATATGTTACACGAGTTGTTTAAAATATTGATAAATAGAATCAGGTGTCTTTGAATGGAAAAAAAAAAAGAAACTCAAACAATTTTTAGTAGTATGGATAGATACAGAGAATGAGAAAAATGAATTTATGTCTAATAAAAACGAGTTATAATTGGACACTACATTAAATTTCATTAATAATATTCTATCATGACCATAGCTATACGTCCTTTAAAAAAAATAGAACATTTATTTACTCAAAACTATAGAAAAAATCAAATTTCATTAAATTCCTTATTTACTTTCTCATATTATTGTTCTTGTCTCCTGCACTTTACTTACAACTATTTTAAAATTATTCTGCCATGTCCATATTCATGTGCTTTTTTATTACATGAGCAATTAATTGTTTCCATGTACTTTGAAATTAAAATTCATCAATTTTTCCTCGGAATAGATCAATAGTAAAATCGATTAAAAATAACAAGAAAGATAATTTATTTTAAAAACACATCTGATTTTTTAAAAATGGTTCAAACCCTTAAAGTAACAATAAATTATTGAATGATTTTAATTTTTTCCTGGTTGGTAATGATATTTAAATAATATGGAAGCGGTAATAAGGTATTGAATGCAGTGGACCGACCAATGTCCTTTTTGAAATGACGTCAACATCTCCATGTTTCTCTCGTGGTGATCTTCTCCTTGGCCTTTGCATCTTTACACCAACACTCTGTTTTGTCCTTTTTTTTTGCTGTATCATAAACAATTTTTTTTTTTGAAGCAATCGACCAAAACAGTTTATCCCAAAAATAATAATAATTTTTCACATTTAGTAATCTGAAAATTAAATTTTTATATTTTTTTACTGTTAAAAGGGTTGCTAAAGTGGGCAGACAATAAATATTCGCGTGCCAAATTCGACCATTGTTCTTAATGCAACCGTTAAACGTACGAATCATGAAAGCATGTGATCATTAAACTATGTTGTCGTTAATATTGTATTGAAATTGAATATTGTATAAAAAAATATTTTTTAAAGGGACATCCAATCTATTTAAGAAACGGAGAATATTATTTTATGATTTTTTTTTTATGTGAAAGAAGAACATCAAGAGGCTTCGTGTAGATTTTTGTCATGAATGATTGAAAACTCAAGTTTTGTCTTTGTGCGGACTTCTCTACTTTATATATATATATATATTGGTATTTTAATTGTAAAAACTAAATATTTTGAAGTCTTGGAAAGAAGACAAGGAGAAGGAAAAAAATATGATTTTTTTGTTAAATAAAATTTACCAAAAGCTTATATTAAATAAAAAATGTAATTAGTCCTTATAGTTATCGGCCTAAGTGCAAAAGCATGAGCCTTTTTCCCTTTTCTTGTTTTTTTTTCATCAATAGAAAAAAAAATGTAAACATTTTTGTATTCTGTTTTTTTAATTCACAGCACATGTTTTTAAAAAGAGAGGCCATGCAATGCAAGTGCAAATACGCCAATTTGTGTGAGGATCCCTCGTAGCCCTGATTTCAGAGAGAGAGAGAGAGAGAGGTTTCCGATCTTCTTCGCGGCGTCTACATTTGTACACTGAAATCTGCTCACGTAGCTGAAGCAAAGACGGGACAATCTCTCTTCGTGCAGGAATCGCCGTGTCCGAATCGATAGTTGTCCAGATTTTTCTTTTCCCTGAGAATCTGCGGGAAAAGAAGAATTTCGCTGTTATCTGGAGCTATTTTGAGGTCGGTTTCGCCTTCATTGCTCATTTTTTGCTGTTGATTCCTTGTATTTGACGGTTGCTGATGTGCTTGTTGTCCATGATCGGATTTGAATCTGTGTTGCTCATACTCGATTCAAATTTCATGTTTTGTGGATGTGGTCGCGAAGGTGTATTCTCCCTGTTTCATCTGCTCGATTTTAAGTGTTGCTGATTCTCACGTTTCGTTTCGTCCTTTTTTTTGTTGCTTGTTTTTTGTCTGTAGTGCACTAGAATCAAATTCAGATGGAATATTCTTTTGTCTTAGAGCTCGAGATCGCTCTCTGTTTTGATGAATCCATTGATCCTATTGTCTCAATGAGCGCAGATTCTGTTTCTGAGAAATTGTAGCGGAGATGAAGCTTTTGGATCTGTTCATAACCTCTTCCATCCCAGTTGATAAGTGCAGTGGGATTGTATATGGCTCTTGAGAGAGTCAATATTTTGGGACAAGATGCCAGAAAACACTTGAACAACGTTAGTTTCTCCGATGTTTCTGATTCAGTTTTGTGATTCAATCTCGGAAGATGTGTGAAGGGTTTTTTATTCTTTTGGGGTTTAGGTAGTCTTCTATGCGTTTAGTCCCTCACTTGTTGGAAGCAGTCTTGCTGAGTCCGTCACATATGAAACCCTAGCGAAAATGTAAGGCTGGAACTTGATTTCCATTAGATTTCCCCGGGAAATGATTTGACTGTGATTGAATTTCTCAAAAAACAATCTTTATGTGAGATTGCAGGTTGTTCATGCCTGTCAATATTCTGCTCACATTCATCATCGGCTCGTCTCTGGGTTGGATTGTTATTCTGATCACGAGGCCTCCATCTCATCTCCGTGGCCTTCACTCTTTCACCCTCTTGACATATTGAAGATATCGCCTATCAGATGCTTTGGTAGGATATCTGTTGCCAATTGTTCGTTCCAGATTATATAGTCTACGAATGGTCTGAACCCAACAGGGAACTTGAGGAATCTGCTTCTCATCATTATTCCGGCGATCTGTAAGGAAAAAGTAGTCCATTTGGGGATCCCGAGTCATGCGAGAAATATGGGCTGGGTTATGTCTCACTCTCAATGGCTGTATGTCCCTTTTCTACAATCTTTTTCCCTTCTTCTTCTTCTTCAAGCTCTTCTCCATGATTTCCATGCCATAGAATTCAAATGCTTGTAAGTTGTGACATTTCAGATCGGAGCCGTTTACATATGGACCTACGTTTACAATCTTATGCGGATGCTAGCAACCAGAGCCAAGGAAATCGAAATCAGAACCTCCTCTGTAGAATCCAGCTACGAGAGTTGTGCTGTGCCATTGATTCCTTCCAAGGATGGAGATGGAAACAAGGTATCAACAAAAAAGCTCTTTTTCTTTATTTTTGAGCATTTATGGTTTGAGACCCCATTGTTGACTCCTCTGGAGAATCCATGACAGGTCGGACGTGGGGCAGATTCAGGCAAAGATTGTGTTCAGTGGCAGAGAAAATCAATTGAAGGACTATATTTGCTCCGTCAACTATCGCAGCGGTATGCTTTCACACGGTTTCCTTAGTGTTTGGTAATGGTAGCATTTGTTGTTTTATGTCTCTATAACTCTTCACGTTCATCAGATTATTGCACTTGTGGTTGGCCTCATTCCTCCCATAAGGAAACTTCTAATCGACAGCACAGCTCCTCTCCATGTGATTGAGGACTCTGTCTCTCTCGTCGGGTAAAAAACCAAAATCTTAGTCTTGTAATCAACTGGTTCAAACAACATTGCAGCTTCCTCAAACAGAAAGTCATGAAAAACGAATCAAGGACATTACAGGAATAAAATCACCGTGATATTACGAAACTCGGGGAACAAATGCGAGCAAAAATCACAATGCAGAGTTCGGACAAAAAAACATAGAGATCCGCGTGATTTCCGAAAGAGAACGGAGCAAGAGAAATCTAAGAACCTGGAGACAAGGTCCTGCTCTGACGCTTATTATAGGAGGAAATCTTCTACGAGGTAAAAAAAATGACAACCGAAAGAAGAACATTCCAACATTTTTCGAATCTCGAAAGAGTTAAAATCTGAGGGTTTGTCTCTTAAGGTCCGAGGTGCTCGGGAATGGATAAATCGATCGTTCTTAGCGTTATAATCGCACGTTACATTATGCTGCCAATTATCGGTGTTGTGATCGTTAGAGGAGTCTACCATTTAGGGGCTGATTAGCTCCGACCCACTCTACCAGTTCGTCGCCTTGTCTGCTACGAATATATGCATAATAAGGCTGGTCATTTTCGTTAGAACTATTGTTACTTAGATTGACTAGACCATTTACTTCTGGGAGCAGAGTAGAATCTGAGACAATGAATATTATTATTATTATAATTATTATGAAAAGTAAAAAAAAATTATAAAAAGATTAAATATAGAGGCGACAGAAAGTGTGAGAGTTAAGTAAACCAAAAACTAGGGAGAGAGTTCAGAGAGAGGAGGAGGAGGAGGACATGGTGGAGAGAACGTCTGTCACCGACGCCATAACGCTCAGGGCCGCTTTCAGAACGTCTTGCGAGCATCCTGGTTTCACTATTGTCCTCACCTTCATTCACACCCCAAAACAAGCGTCAGAACTCTCACATATATAGTTATCCACTGAAAGCATACACATAGTACAAGAACAGAACTCACGGTCGGATACAAAGGAAAAATCAGAAGTCTTCGGGTGTCATATTTCGTACCCGAAGATCTTGGGTACCCGATTTTCGGACATTTATACTCCCCCATGTGAAAACGATTTAGAAAGAAGCATAGACTGAAAACTTTAAGACAGAGTGTGTCGTAACCTGTTCGAGGTACTCCTGAAGTTTCTTGATACGTCCCATGTAGTCCTGGTCTTCCACACAAAGGCTCACGGCCTTTGCGTCCGAGCCAGGACCATCGTACTGAAGCGGTCCCGGGTTTCTGTAGAGGTCTTCCATCAAGAATCTTTCAGCGTTTTGCCTCAATACCCTGTTGTAATATTGCCCCAAAAAAAAACATTTTAAGTTAAAAAAAAACAGGCCCCATCGATGATGATCTCGAGAACTTGTTGGTCGAGAACTTACTCGTATGCTTTTCCTTTGAGATCGACTGTACCCGGATGAATGGCAGGTCTACCTATTGATGCAGAACCGGCGTTCTGGGACCATCGCTTCACCGTCATCATCGCCTAAAAGTTTACACATATGAGAGAGGAAGGGACAGGAAAAAAAATATTTGTTCCGGGAAGGGAAAAAAACTATATCCGAGGACCAAAAAAACTCAAACCGTCATTGGAGCAGCGCCGCATTTCCACTTGTTTGCGGGACTCTTCAGGTTAGTAACAGTTGCCATGTAACCGTTCAAACCAGCTGCAAGGATATGATAACATATATGTCCAAGAATCTGCACATTTTTTTTTCGCTAATTAGTATATTATCCAGAATATTAAGCCGCGAAAATAAGTTAAGGATGAGGTAGAAATCACATACATAGGCATAATCGCAATCGAATTTCGACGGCAGAGCCCCACGAGCTTGGTAACCGAAAAAGTGACAGATAGCATTGAATTTCTTCCCTTTGTATGTGCCTTCTTTCTATCAAGTTTTTTAAGAAAAACAGGAGACAAGATTGGCTCCAGATTGCATAAAACTGAAATATTCGGACAAAAGTAAATCAGATTGTGATCGTACCAGACGCCTGTTCATTTCATTCTCCACGAGATATGCAAGAAGTTTCTCTGTCTCGATCTGAGGGAGTAAAAGTAAAAAAAAAAAAATTTAGGATTCTGACATTTTACGACATGGTTGTGGTGCCACAACAGTTTCTTAATCTTTTCTTTACCTGGGATAGCTGTGCAGAATCGTCGGACTCAGGGTGAAGCAGCAGCTGAAGGAACAAAGACGATAATCTGAAGTATTGTATTGATTATCCTGTGAGGAAAACAGATTATGCTCCATGTTAAAGGCATCAAACCTGTTTCTTAATGAATGGTGGGAGAAATTCAAACAAAGCGGATGACCAGGGTGAGAGCTGAGAAGAAATTTTATCAGCAGAAACACCCTTCCTTAGCAACTCGTGAATTTCCTGCATAACAATAACACGGCAACTACTTAAAACGACTTCTCGGTAGCGAGTAAACCAGAGAAACAGCTTCAAATCAAGATAGAAAGATGCCGTTGAGGACAAGCTCATTACCTTCAGTAAAGCATAGACTTCCGGAATACTCTCAATCAACCCTTCGGGGATCAGGATCACTCCATGGTACTTGTCTGGTGGGAAAATATATGGTGAAGCAATAAGAATTATAGCAAACAGCAATACACATCATAGTCAAAAGAACCATCTTTTAATTATAATACCATCTCCGGCTCTTGCTTGAACAGCATCACAGATCTGTGTTGTGATGTCGAAAAGTGTGAGCTTAGAGGCCGCAACCTCCTCGCCCAGTATCACCTGAGACAACAGCATCACATTCATTTTAGAATCTCAGAGGAAGAAGCAAAGGAAAGGAATTAATTGTTTATGTTTAAAAAACCCAACAGGAAATACCATGTTTGGATGAGACTGGAGGGTGCATTCAAGAGCAACATGGGAGTGCTTCCGGCCCATGAGACGGATGAAGTAATAATACTGGCCAAATAATAAATGAAAAGAAATATTTTTCAGAAGAAACATGATACAGAAACAATATAGAATCAACTTCACACTGCTCATTATACAATCAATTTCCACATCCTTGACCAAAATGTTTCTGATTATAGGATTATCGGAATAAAAAATTTCAAAATTCCAGTTACACAGATAGACACTTCCATAATTCTGGACACTCCATCGATCCCCAAAAAATCCTCACGTGTTCAGACAAAAATTTTAGCTTACCTTCTCTGCGGAGAGAGCATCAGTGCAGACATTGCTAATGAGCTGGGAATTCACCTATATGTAGTGGAATATCATTAGAAGCAGGAGTAAGATACACACACTGTTAATTTGTTGCAACTGATGAGTACAAAGTCATTTTTTTTAACCTCTCGTACAAAAAAAACAAAAGAAGTAAGACAGAAGTAAATGAAAGGATAAAATCCAGACTTACCTTGCATATGGTATCAAAGCCAACATTTGTCTCCACGAATTGATTCTTGAGATCCCCATTAATAGTAACAGGAACACCAACCACCTAAAATTTATTGGGCAGTTCTATTATTAACAGGTTCTTTTGTTATAAGATGCAATTGAGTGACTAAAAAGGTTCATGAATAGTTCAATATAAAACAAAGGTAAAAATAAACAATAACAGACAGCCAGTACCTTTGTTGGGCATTTTGTTTCGGCAAAAAATTCGGCAAGATGTGCAGCATCAGTGTTTGATGTTACACCTTCAAGAACAAATAGATATTCTTCATTTAGGAAATTAAAAAATAAACGTTTCCAGTCGGATTATGCAATTTACAACCATAAGCTACCTCCAATAATAACAAGGCCGTCCAATTTCAACTCTGTGCAAGAGGCCAGGGCAGCGTTAACTTGTTCAGTTGTTCTGATCTGATCTTTGGTTCTTCCAAGCAAATCATAGCCACCTTAGAAACCACAATTGGATACCAACATCAGTCAGAATGCAGCATGCATAAGTTTCTGAGAATCTAAGCAACGGCTTTATCAAACAAACTACCTTGGTTTTTGTAGGTTTGGAGGATATCATCTGTGATCTCCAGGGTGTTTTTAGCAAATAGACCTTCAGACCCACCTATTGACAGGTACAAAAGTTTCCAATTAAAACCAGTTGCACACAGCGTTAAACAAAAGAAATAAAAGGCTCAGACATTACACGTTTATATGCTTCCAGTACAAAATTCAATGAGTTCATAACACAAAAAGGGTCTTTCGTAGCACATAAGGTAGTGTCTAGCGTCTCTCAGATACAAAGAGAGCTAAAACTAGCCAAGGAAAAATAACAGCCCCTCGTAAACATGGGGAAAAGGTAACTTACCCACAAAGCCTAACAAAGCGCTTTTCGGGTTGTGGACCTTGAGAGCCTCGTAAAGACCCCAAATTACATTATGTCCACCAGGAGATTGCCTTCCACTAAACACAACTCCAACCCTACAGTACAAAGCAACTGACTGTCAGCCAAATCGCACTTCCAATTAATGGTAAAACAGAGAGGAAATGAAGAAAGAAAAACAGAGAAAACACTCTAATGCGCACCTAATAGCAGGATGCTCTGTAATGATCTGAGCATCGGGAACTTTGGAAGTTGCCCGGAGGAAGTGAGCCAAAGGCTGACTGTAGGTGTGCGGGAAGGCACGTGAGATGATGTGAGCATCAGCAGCCTCGGCCACGGTAGTTCCATCACCAAATTCCACCCGGACAGTGGTCCCCTAAAAGGGCATCAACCAGAAAAGATAAGGAAACAGTGAACAAAGATTGCAAGTGAGAGACGAACTATACACAAGTCATATACAACCAGATTAGATAGCTTAACCTACCACTCCTACATCAAATCTAAACTCTAAATATGAAATTGGATAAACCTAAAACTGTAAAGCAAACAACGAACCAAGGAGGAACAACACTTACACAAGATAGGTACACCTATACACAAAGACAAAATGGCAATCAACCAGAAAAGCCGCCGAAATCCTACTAATACACTGAAATCTAAAATCTAAATCAAACTGAACAAATTATGAACTGAAAAGTAAACGAATGAATCTAGTACACGCCCGAAATCCCAGATGCATCGCCGAAACAGATCTGAGCAACACCAACATTGCAGCTTCCTCAAACAGAAAGTCATGAAAAACGAATCAAGGACATTACAGGAATAAAATCACCGTGATATTACGAAACTCGGGGAACAAATGCGAGCAAAAATCACAATGCAGAGTTCGGACAAAAAAACATAGAGATCCGCGTGATTTCCGAAAGAGAACGGAGCAAGAGAAATCTAAGAACCTGGAGACAAGGAGGAAGCTCGGGCTGGTACTGAGATCGGAGCTGCTGAAGAGGGGAGAGTTCTCTGGGGATCCCGAAATCTGAATCCATGGCGATTTCTGTGTGTTAGGTTTTGAATGTTGTTGGGTTTGGTGGGGGGTGAGGGGGAGAAATGGCAGTGAGTAAGGAGGCTTTATATAGTGAGGGGGGAAATTTGGTGGACTCGGCGATACGACCAACCAAAGAGCCCATTTTTGGTCTACCTCTTCTTTTGGGGTCTTTTCTTTTCATCCCTGATATTCTATGTTATTACGATACTACCATCGTGTTTCTTTGTACTCCGATTACCGAAAGACCCCTCAGCCCACATTTTTTTAAGAAAATATGCTGTTTTTATAGATAATTATCAATAATTCTTTTTACAGATTGTTTTAGTGCACAACGAACAAAAATTGTCCAATAATTAAAAAAAAATTCTATCATATTATATTTATATATTTCAATCAATTTTAAAGATATTTTTAAATCCATGTTTGTTTATTTTTAAAACAAGAAATTTGGCGATTGAAATTAGTGGTTCTTAAAAACGATTTTGTAATATTTGAATTCATAGATTGGGGTTAGTAAAGTTTATTTTAAGAAAATGATTTAAATCTACAAATAAATCAATGTTGTACTGTTAAATCAATTAATAATATGAAGATTCGGCATAGTATTCTAAATGCAAAAAAAAAATAAAAAATAATTTCGTCTAATGGAGAGAGATTTCCGTGGGGAAAGGGAAGTCTAAAGGGTAAAAATGGAAAACAAAAAGTGGCAAGAACGAAATTTAACGTGGAGATATATATATGTCTTTGTAATTGCAGGACTGAGACAGACCGAATATACGGAGTCTTGTCTTACACTTCAACTCAGCCTCCCGTCCGAAATCCGCGCTTGTACGGATGTCTATACAATGCAATGTTATATACGCAGGTATGTACGTATTTATGTACGTATAGACTATCAAAATTAGTAATAAGTCGGATCATGAATTTGCTCCACAGATTGGACATATTGGGCTTGGGCTTGGGCTTATCCAACTCAAATATATTCAACTACTTAAGGCTCTATCATTTTGGCCCATCACAATAACTATTTTTTTATAAAGAAAAATTGTTTTCATAAAAATAAAAATTACCAATAAAAACCAAATTCAAACGGATCAAAATGAACCAAATATAAAAATTATTTGAGAATTTAAGAAATTGATTACAAATTTAACTGAACCAATCAAAATTCAAGTTGTATATATACTCAATATTCTAAAACATATCACAAAGCATGATCAACAAGAATTAAGGTTGGGGGACAGAACGAGAGGCAGCAAAGACACAGAGTAGGTGAGGGGGGCAGTTTTCTCTCGTGCTTATATCTCACTCCTCATGTGACATGCTCCATATATCTATCCACATACTCCATTATTCCCATATACATATATATATATATATATGTATGTATGTATATATATGTATAATTGGAAATAAGACACGATGATTCGAGAACAGACCAACTGTACCCCAATGGACAAAAATTTCATGGCCAATTTACTATGCTAGAGGAAAGCTGACGTGGAAGAGGAAGCGTTGAAGGGTAATTTCGTAATTTTGTTAGATGCCCCAATAAGACCTTGCCTGACGGAAACTTTACAGAGGAAGAGGAGAAAAAACAAATACAGAAAGAGGAAAAGAGAATAGACTTGCCGAAATGATTTCGGCGACGGCGATCTCCGACGGATTATTTCTCCGGTCACAGATCTATTCACGGAACCTATCACCGATCTCACACTACGGAAACGGTTTCGGATCGGAGACGATCCTCCGGCTGAGAAAGGGAGGAACGAGACGGATGCGGGCGGTGACGGTGACGGAGGCGACGGCGAAGTACAAGGGAACGAAGATGAGGGAGGAGAAGCTGACGGAGATGATAGAGAGGAAGGTGAAGGAGGCGACGGAGGTATGCGCGGCGGACGAGGGGTCGGAGGAGTGTAGAGTGGCGTGGGACGAAGTGGAGGAGGTGAGTCAGGCCAAGGCCGATCTCAGGCTGAAGCTGCAGAAGCAGGATCCGCTCGAAGGTTTCTGCCAGGAGAACCCCGACACTGACGAGTGCCGAATCTACGACGACTAAGCCAAGAAGATAACAGTAGGATCCCTCTCTCTCTCTCTCTCTCTCTCTCTCTTTGGTGTTTTGAATTTGTGTGTTACTTTGTTGTTATGTGGTGTAAAAATATGATTAATTTCGAGGTGAAATTATCGTTTCTGGTCTTTGATGACATCGGGGGCATTGTCTTTTGGGGGATCCCTTAACCAAAAACAAAAAACTGCAGCTCTTAATCAGACCCAAAATCCGATTATCATCATATGGAGGAAAAGTGTTCATAGATGTCATGTGAGAGTAAACACAAAAGACCTTGCACAAGATTACGAATGCTAATATCAACAAGATTCCAAACAATCAGAAACAGAAGCAATGCCAAAAACTCAATCCTTCATGTGTATGATTTCTGTCCCGGCTCAGTCAGCGCCATGAAATCCATCTTCACCCTCGCATTCCCTTGCAGCCATACCCGCTTGATGGCTAGTCTAGCCACCACCCTTCTTCTTTTGCCTCCGGGTACCTCGGTCCATCCACCGGCTCCATCCATGTCTCTCTCGAGCGTCACCTGTAACCTGAACTCTCTTCCGGGTGTCACGTCTTCGCTGCCATGACCTTGAAAGTGGGACCAATGTTCGGGAATCGGTTGCAGAATCTGGCGACGTCAAGGAGCTGAGAATCCTCCAGATGTTGCTGTCATCGGCTGAGGTCAAACACGATTTCCATGCTTTTTCCGGGGAATTCTCTCGGCATTTTCTGGCTAAGCCTTTTGTGAAGTGAGGGAGCTGCAGGAGAATAGAGTCATGTTCCCGCATACCTTGAGTCACCATCTGGCTTACCCCCATAGCCAACAGTGCAAGGTTTAGCCAGCCGTTGCTTGATATCATGTGGACCATCGCCTGGAGAAGCCGAGTCACCATTACAGGGACCTCTCGCTGATCCATCGCCGGATTACAGTCACCGTTTTGTCTCGAGAAATGAGACTGAAGAAGTGTGTACGCTTCACGGGATGAAGGATCTTTTTCGGAAGAAAGTACTCGTGATGAACGATCTGTTCGCCTGTCATTGCCTTCCATAATTACCCAGAATGGTCCAACGTATTTATGGATCCGTCCATCCCACTGGAAATCGGGTATAATCGAGAGTTGCTCCACCCGTAATACAGTGCGAGTAATCAGCTGATCTCTTTCTTTTTATCGAGGTTTTTGATGGACTCATTCTTGAGAACAGTTAGCAATCAAAATGGTGTCGAAGGGTACTGGGGAAATTGCGACGGACACGGGAATCCAACTGAATAAGGCTAAGCATCGCCTCGTATGCAGCCGTCGTCTCCTTAGTCTTTGGTTCGTAAAACCCCATCGTCTCCTTAGTCTTTGGTTCGTTAAGCACACTCTCCGTTTCTTACTCTACCGAGCGGAAACCACATCAGCATCACGCTCCTTCTTCTTAGACTTCTTAAGCTCCTCATCTAACTCCGGAGGCCTCCCTCTGGTAGTTCGATCCCCCGAAGGATTTGGGATCAAGCTTTCCCTGGCCTGCTTGAACCTGGCCTGCGCCCCTGCGCCACCGCCCAAGTTCGCCATCACAAGGAACTCAAAAATTCGAAAACCCGGTGACAAAAACCTGTAAAACAAACTGGACAGAAGAACATAATGTTAGCAAAGAAAGCATCCACAGAACTCTAGGGATTTCTTCATCTAAAAGCTAACCATTAACCCCTCAAGCGGACCCAAAGATTTTAGGAGAAAAATCCACGAACCATCTACAGCGAATTTGAAAACCCTAATCGTCCAAATCCAATGCCACAAACAGAAAGAAACAGGAAACAGAGAGAGAGATGGCTTACCGGAAAACTATGAAGTACCTACGTCTTCCTCAAAATCTCTGCAACCCGGCGACAAAAACATAGAAATCAAACAGGACATGGAAACACAATGTTAGCCAGAGAATTCCATCAAAATCTAGGGAGGGATTTTGCAGCTAAAATCAAACTAAAAAACTCAAGCGAGCCGAAATTTCTCGAAGAAAAGATCTCGCAGTCTTCTACGGCGAAGATAAACCCTAATCAGTCAAATTCAATGAGACAAAAAAGACATGAACAAGGAACATAACTTGCGGGAAAAAACCTGCGAACAATCTATCCTCCCCGCATGTCTCGAGAAAGGGGTTTCCATTTTTTCAAATACTGATTTCTCCGATTCTATGCCGCCAGGCCAAAGGCGGTGAGGGTAACGCCGTCATAACGACGCCGTTTGACTTCAACTCCGTTTAGTCTTGTTGCTTTTTCTCTCAAATAAACGACATCGTTTCGATAATTAGGGCCCAGTGGGCTACTTTTAAGACAACCCGGATAATTGGGCCAAGCCCGGCTACGGTGGACCAACTCATATAAGCTTCTAGAATTAAAAAAACACGTGGTTCAATCAAGAAAATAACTATATATGTTAATAAAGTCATCATTTCTATTTAGATACACAAAAGCTAATCAAGACGAATATAATAATGTATAAATATAAAATAAAATTTATCTGCAAATTTATTTTAAAAATTAATTTATCGGCTTTATCTGTCTTCTCTCCGCGACGCGAGAAACATGCCACGAAGGGATAAAAATCAATGCCTAAAAATGCCAATATTTCAAATCATGTGATATGTAGGGTCCTCAGTATCTCAACGGTCCACGTAACAAATGTGGAAAATTTTAATGAATCACGGGTTACAAATTTCAAAGGAAAAAAAAACTGTATACGATAAATTATAGATTATATCATCTATTTTGAAAATGATGTTATTAACGATTAATATTTTAGTTATAATGGAAAAAAAAAACGGCATCTTATTGTATTTGCATGCAATGAGAGCACGGAAATATGTTTCCATGATGTTCTTGTCCATGCACAGGTTACGTATGTACGGTATGCCCATTCTAAACCCTAACAATAATAGGATTAAAGTGGAATTAAATTTAATTAGCAACGCTAATTTACCAAATCGTGAAAAAAAAAAACTATCTACCACCAAAAGTCTCCGGTTAAATTTGGATAAAAAAACAAGCGAACATTGGAATGTAAATCGAATCCGACTCTGAAACTAATTAGATATGAATTTGTTTATAAAAAAAGGCCAAATGAATATAAGAAAACCAAAATTATTTCGTGCAAAGTCGTAGACGTAGATCACGATACATGTATGTATATATAGTTGCGTGCATGTAGCGAAAATGAACTCAAAACAAAGCGTTAGAAAATAATGTGGGTCATGGAAGGGGACTGAAATGGACATGCCACCAACCCAATTTTTCACCATCAAGCATTGACATAAAGAAAAAGTAAAAAATCAAAAACAGAAATTTTAGATTAAAAAACATATATATATATAGATATGGTTTTATACGGTATTCGATGTATTGTGTTATACAACTATAAAGACACAAAATACCCAAGTTTGGGCGGTTTAGTGGTGAGAGAACATGCAAAGTATACTCTTATCCTGGGTTTAAACCCAAACGTGGGGAGGGACATTCACATGGGTTTCTCCGGTCCTTTGGGAGATGTAGTCGGGCCAAAGACCCGGTGAACTTCCGGATAAAAAAAAAACTATAAAGACACAAAAGAGATTTAGAGTAAAATTAAACTACATTATCATGAAATTTTCTTCACCCAATTACGAAGAGGTGTTATATTGTATTATATTACATTACATTATGTTTTTTTTGGTAAATACATTATGTTATATTATATTATAGTCATGTTTACTTATTTGTGTCTATTATCTCATTGAGTAATACAAGTTGATGAAGTATTGAATTCGTCAATGTAATACCTAACTAAAATAATGTCTTATTTTTGTAAAATAAAATCACCCTTTTGGAATTTTATTTGAAAATAAAGAAATAACACAATGAAATGGTCAATGCACGAGGAATGGTCGAGATCGTGAAGCTGCCGACAGATCCGTGATCGTAATTTGAACCGATTGATGCATGTCTGTACGTATTCACATGCATCACATCCGCTAATAGGCATTTTGAACCGATGGACACAATTATATCAATTATAGGAATTTACAATTTGTACAATTTGGCAAGGCCTAAATGCGGTGTACTTTATAGGGATCATATTCTATATTTTCCAAATAAAACATTTTCAATATTTCCATTAGAAAATATAATTAATTGAACTTATATTAAAACCCAAATACATATTTTTTTTGTTGGACCGTCTGTCATTTTCTAATTAGGGTGAACTCCACGCACATGACTTGTTGCTGGGTAAACTTTTACATTTATATAATATAATGTTTTTAATCTATATATATTATCCATGCTACAAAAAATAAGTAGTGTAGTATCTCAAGATTTATGTGATTTTTTATTGACATTATCTTTTTCAGTAAATTTTAACCATAAAAAAACAAACATATCAAACTCAAATTGTCAGTAATTTTCTAATTTGGGTGAACTCCATCCACATGACCTGTTATTGGGTAAACTTTTATATTTATATAATATAATATTTTATATATTATCCGTGCTACAAAAGTGATCAAGTGTAATTCTCAAAATTTATATCAATTTTATTGGTTCACATTTATATTTTTATCAATTTTATCCAAAAAATGATATCAAACTCAAAATGTTGTATTTATATTTGATGAGATCTTGTAATTTTATACAGACAATAAATAAACTATTATTTCTACCAAAATAAAACAAAAAAAAAAGCACCCATTTTGGAGTTTTCTTCGCTTTAAATTAAATAAAAAAAACACGTGGCAAGTTTAAGAGGAGTTCAAAAATGTGAAAAACAAACAAAAAAAAAAGCCTTTATTCAACAAGAAGACTAGTTTCTCTTCGTCGTTCCCTCCCTGAGAGCCAGCTGTTTCTTCTTCTTCACCTCTCTCTCTAAAATCCCTCGGAATTTTCCTCCGTAATCTCCGGCATTATATATTATCCGTGCTACAAAAGTGATCAAGTGTAATTCTCAAAATTTATATCAATTTTATTGGTTCACATTTATATTTTTATCAATTTTATCCAAAAAATGATATCAAACTCAAAATGTTGTATTTATATTTGATGAGATCTTGTAATTTTATACAGACAATAAATAAACTATTATTTCTACCAAAATAAAACAAAAAAAAAAGCACCCATTTTGGAGTTTTCTTCGCTTTAAATTAAATAAAAAAAACACGTGGCAAGTTTAAGAGGAGTTCAAAAATGTGAAAAACAAACAAAAAAAAAAGCCTTTATTCAACAAGAAGACTAGTTTCTCTTCGTCGTTCCCTCCCTGAGAGCCAGCTGTTTCTTCTTCTTCACCTCTCTCTCTAAAATCCCTCGGAATTTTCCTCCGTAATCTCCGCATTGGCCCCCGCCGCTGATCAGACAGTCTCATCTCTCGCCGTCACCGGCTACAATCCGATCTTGAGGTAAGTCGAATCGGATCTCCGAGAGCTTTCTCCGATCTATGCCCACAGCTTTTCTTTTCGCTTTCTTCCGGTGCTGTTTGTAAATTTCTACTAGATTTGGTTATAATTGCGTTTGATCTGCTTTCTACTCTCGTGTATTGGTAGTGATCTGTACATCATTCGTTGGTGGAACTGTGACGATGCCGGCTGAGGTGGAGACACTCGAAGGGAAGTCCCTGTCGAGGGTTGAGATCGAGAATGTGGATGAGAAAAAGCAGGAGACAGTAGGTTCGGCTGTGAATGAGAACGTGGCCAATGGAATCAGCCATGGCGGCAATGACAACGGCAATTGCAATGGCGACGACAAGGAGGAGCACGATGGTTCCTACGTTTTCGTGACGGAGAACGACACTGTCGGTGATGATCCTGTAGCCTCTGACACGTTCCACGACAGAATTTGTGATTTTGTTAGGCCCTCCGATGCCAATGTCGAGAAAGACGGACATGGGTTTGTCGAGGGAGAGAATGGGAATCCTGGGGAGCAGAAGATGGAGATTTCCCAAGAAAGTCAAACCATGGCAGAGTCCGAGGCAGATAGGGCAGATGTTGGATTGATTGAGGCGGTCGTGGAGATCACAAAGTCAGAAATGGAGGGTCCTCGTGATGGGGATCTTGGAAATGGAAAAGGAGAAAAATTGGAATCTACGATGGAAGTGGAACCGATTCAAGAATCTGAAGTTGAACCCAGGGGTTTCCAGGAGAAATCCGAAGGTCAGATCAACACTGGTAGGAAAATAGATGTGGAGGGAGACCAGGGGAACAGTATTGAGGGGCAAGACAAATCGGATATGGATGTAGATTTTTCTAAGGATCTACAACATAGTGAAGATGCAGAACGGCCAATTGAGTCAAATGTGGGAACGAAATCTGAATTGATCAGTGAGGAGACTTCTCTAGATGATCCTAAAGATGGCAGCCTGATTTTGGAACAATCTGTCTATGATCCTAAAGATGATGGGCTGATTTTGGGACAATCTGTCCAAGCAGATTCAGGTTGCACTATCAATGTATCTGAATCGGTCAAGGCTCCAGACTCTGAAGATGATGACATTAGATCAGAGTCCACAGCTGTTGCGGAACCTGTTTCTGTTGAAAGAGAAAACAGTGAAGGTGATGCTCTAATGGTGTCGGAGGCAGAAAAGGCCCAACCTTCTCATGATGCAGCAGATGATACTACTGAGCTTGGTGTGCCAAATGTAAATGGTGATGCCAAGGCGGAGACTCATAATCTTACTGTCCCCAGCTTGGATGAAGATGCTAGCAAGCAGTCTGAATCTCGAATTGCCGAGGTTCACAATTCTGTTTCTGATGAAGGAGCCCAATTAGAACCTGAGGCTGCTGATATCTCTGCTTCTGATGAAAGGAGTGATGTTATTGGCCTTGCCAAGGAAAATGTTTCAGGAACTGCTATTGCCGATGTCTTGTCATGTGCCACCCAGCAGGAACCAGAACATACTGAGCCATCTGAACTGGTAGAAACCCCTTCGTCCCCTGCAAGTCTTGAGGCTCCAGCTACTGAGAATGAAACTAATGGCCGGGGCTCTTCAGAGGATGGTGAACTTGACATCAAACAAGAGACGAAGGATGAGTCTGTTCTGTTGGGACAAGAAGTTACCGACGTGAATGAAAAATTCTCTCTTACTGGACAAAATCAAGAAAACGGCATGGAGGTGAACTTTGGTACTGATGCTGATGGTTGCACAACCTCTGCAGAGGAAGCTGAAAGCTCACAGACAGGTGGTCTCCCCAGAAATGTATCAGACGAGGGTACTAAATCTATTTCCACAAGCCTCAGCGAGCCATTAATTGGGTTGGATTCCGAAACCATAGTCCCTAAATTGGCAGAAAAATCGGTGAATGGAGCAGCTGATGAAATGAACGCTACTGCATTCGAACCTGAAGGTGTGCAATCGGGTAGAACATGCAGTGAACTGAATGACGATTTGCCCACTCCTGAGCACAGTAAGATAGACATAGAAGTGGAGAATAATTCAAAAGTGAATGGTACCGAGGACATTCCGAAGGATGTTTGTGAGGATACATCCGAAGACGTTTGTGAGGCAGAGGTATCAAACATCAAAAAAGGCTCTGTGATGAATGCAGCTGAAGAAGTAGAGTCAGGTACCAAGAGCTTTTATAATACAGAATTTCCTCTTCTGAGCAATGGAAAGGTAGAAGCAGAAGTCGTAGGTGAGCCCCAGGAGAAAGATAACGAGTCACGTTGGCCCACCGTCTGTTCCGCATCGAAAACCAAGACCTCTATCCCAAATCTTGAACCTGAAGTCACTGTGTCTACAGATACCACAGGTACTGGAGATATGAATTCGGAAGCAGTAGCTGAGAGCACCGATAGCAAACTTGCAGAACACAAAGGAGGAATTGATGTGATTGAAAATGGAAATAGGACGAGTACTTCTGCTGATGAAACAGATGCTAAAGTAGCTTCTGCTTGTGAGGGCAGTGACGGGCAATCAGTGAATCTCCAAGTAGATGGAGAAACTCAAAAGGATCAAGTTTCAACTTGTGAGGCCAGTGGCGGGCAATCGGTGAATCTCCATGTAGATGGAGAAACTCGAAAGGATCGAGCTTTAGCATCTTCTGGAGAAGTTTATACACTTGATGCTTCTGAAGGGCAAGCTATAGCTGCAGAGATTGAGAGAAAGCCATTTTACTTTTTGCCTAGAGTTCCGAGATATGATGGCGAAAATTTAGCTGAGCAACTCAAGCATGCTGAGACGCAAGTTGATGAGAAAACCCAGATCCGAGATGCTATTGGGCCTGAAATCCAGAAGATTAGGGTAAGAGATGCTTTTAAAACTTCAATAAAGCCATATGGCATATTGTCCTAAACTTTGGCTTTAACATGTGTTGCAACGGTAGGTGTCATGTAAGGAGCTTGATGCCAATCTCAAAGCAGCCATTGCAGAAGAGAGATCTGCAAGAAAAGCACTGCAATCGAAAAGGCAGGAGATAGAGTCCCTTCAATCTGTCATTAACCGGGTTAAGAGTGCTGTCTCCGTTGACGACATCGGCTCAAAGGTGAGATTTTTGTCACATCACACTTCCGGCTCAGTTTTGTTAACTCTTACAGCTTTATCAAACCCTGCTTTTGCCGATCTAACTTCATGTCATCGCTTCCAATCAGGTGCATAGCATGGAACACATGATACAACACGAAACTTTAACTCTGAATGAAGAAAAACAACTGATTCGTGAGATAAAGCAGTTGAAGCAACTCCGTGAGCAGATATCTTCTAACATGGGTACACAGGACGAAGTTCAGCAAGCATTAGACAATCAAGAGAAAACCGAAGAGCGCTTGAAGGTAGAATTCTCCCATATCCTTGTTAAGAATGCCCAATATCATGTCCAAATTGATGCAACCTATTTCGTGATATTGATACTAGTGATTGAACTGTCATCTCGATGTTTTTCATTTGATTATCATCTAAAGTGTTAAAAATAATTTTTTTTTTGTGAAAAACTACCACTAGTATCAGGATATTCATACTAGGATTTGATCAGTTAACTCAATGTTTGTTTCTGGATATCATCTAGATTGTTATAAAATAACTTTTTTGTGGGGAATAATAACAGGCAATCCGGAAGGAACTAGATGTGCTGAGAAACGATCTCTCGAAAGCCGAAGCAGTAACAAAAGCTGCTCGGGAAGGGCATGGAGAGGAATGGGAAAAGCAGAGTAAATTGCAAAAGCAGTTCAGAGATGCTGATGCAGTTCGTCAGGAGGCATATGTGCTCCTACAGAGTTTGAGGAAACAACTAAGAGAAAAGGTCTTGCCAATTTCCGACAGCCTCGGAGTTTTGACATAAACTTTTAAATACTTTTCCTTTTATCTAAATGAGGATATATCCATCCTTGTCTTTGATTTGAATCTTTTGCAGAACAAATATTTCTTCAAGTACAGAGATGACTTGAAGGCTGCCATTGAAATGGCTTTAAAGAAAGACAGAGAGGCCCTTCAAAGCTTTTGTCTTGACCAGGTAATCAACAAAACACCAGATTTCTATATCATTTAACCACCTCGACCTCGGTTTTGGCACTCGTTAATTCTTTTTTAACAGGTGGAGACTTTCATGGATCTCTGGAACAACGACGACGAATTCCGTAAAAACTATATCAGATGCAACGCGAGGAGCACATTGAGAAGACTAGGAACCCTAGATGGCCGCGCTCTTGGTCCTGATGAGGAGCCACCTCAAATCCCACATGCGAAAACTGACAGAGCGGACAAACTTAGATCTTCGAATGTTAGACCCGAGACCCACGAAATGGTTCCTCCATCTTCAGCCCATCAAGAAAAGGTCACTCGGTTCGAAGATTCGAAACCCGAAAACACAAAGGCTGTAGCCAAACCCACTGAACAAAAGGATCAGACCACAAAGTCCAAGAAGCCTGCCAAATCCACGCCTCCACCGATCGGTATAGCATCTATTTCTGGCGGAGAGGAGATGGAAGAGTCGAGAACCGAAGAAGAAGAAGAAGAAGAAGAGAAGCCTAAGTTGACAAAAGAGGAGGAAGAGAAGCTGAGAAAGGCAGAGGAGAAGCGAAAGATGGAAGAAGCTATGAAGCTGAAGGAGCAGAGTCGGTTAGAAGAGATTGCAAAGGCGAAAGAAGCAATGGAGAGGAAGAAGAAGAGAGAAGAGAAGGCTAAAGCAAGATTTGCCTTGAGAACTCAGAAGGAAGCTGAAGAAAAAGAGAAGGTAAACTTCACGTCACAACCCGCAAATTTCTCGATAAATATTTCCGTTTAACAAGGCACCCGAAAACGGATTCACGAAGAAACTTTCTTCTTCGTGCAGGATCGAGAAAAGAAACTAAGAAAGAAGGAGAGGAAGGGCATTGCTGAATCCCGAGAGATTCCGCTTCCAAGTTCAGATGCTCAATCCGAGACCCCGAAGGAGAACGAATCACCGGAGGAAAAAATCACGACGACGATCCAGCCGAAGAAATCGCAAAAAACATCGCAATTCCTCAAACAAACGAAATCGAAATCGATTCCTCCGCCTCTCAGGAACAGAAGCAGCAAGAGAAGGCTGAAGCAATACATGTGGGTGGCGTTCGTGGCTGTAGTGGCCTTGGTCGTGTTCCTTCTAGGTAACGCAAATCTCTCCTTCTCTCCCTCCAATCTCTGGTTCCTCATATAATCTCTCAAAAATGGCCTCTTTTTTTTTTTTTTTGCTTTTTGCTTTTTGGTTTCGCTCTATCTATGGGTTTTTCTTCTTCTTTGCCACGGCATTTCATTTGGGTGTGTGTTTTTTTTTTTGAAGTGGGAAGTTGGATTCATTTATTCACACGTAAGAACATAGATTGATTTGTTGGTACCATATCTTAAAAATAAATATACATATACATATATATATATATGTTTGGTTTGAGTTGAAGCTATAGATTTAGCGTTCAACGTGGGTTGGCTGATTGGTATGCCGAAGAAGAAGTCCTGTTGATTTGGGTGAAGAGAAGTATACTAAGATTATTAAATGCACTTGGCATCGTGTCATATACCCATCTCTGTCAAAATATTAGAAAGTTAAACTGCAATGTTATGTCTTGGTCTTTGTTATTTGAATGCTTTCATTTTCAGAATAGATAACTATGCTGTTAATGTTTGGTATAATTTAACCGTATAGTCCGAACATATATATATAATTAAATAAACGATAGTTACGTTAACATATGACAAAATCAAACGCACCACATGTTCACACCCTCTTGTTTTTACATTAGAAAAACAAATTTAAATTTCAACGCCCTATGGGATTTTCATATTCGTAAGTAGTACGTGTATCAGTTTTATTGATTTGAAGTCGTGATGGATTTTATTTACAAAAACAAACAAACAAACTCCATCATGTGTGCCCATAATATATTTATATAAAACATATACATACACGCACGTTTTAATTACTTTATCTTTTTTAATATATACATGGGGTAATTAATATATACATATATATATATATATGGGACTGAAAAAGCAAGTTGGAAATGCATGGGCACACACTACGTTATGGATTAGACTTCCTTGGTATTTGTACGGACGTTCCAGTCTTATCTGCCCTCTCTCTCTCTCCCTCCCTCCCTCAGCACATGGTCTCCGTGAAAGGTTTTACCGTACAGTAAAAAAATTGCCAATATTAAATATCAATAATCACGTAGATTATGATTAATATAATAAATTTAGGAAAAAAATATACAATCTACAATATTTTCCATTGAAAAAAATAATAATAATCAATAACCTATGATTATGATTTTTTTTTTAAAAAAAGAGAATAATGGAGGAAAAAGAGAGCAAGCGGAGCAGTACAAAAAAATGTTCCACAGTGAGAGTATGGTCCCAAAATGCATCGACTTTCCGTACAAAACCAAACACAACAGCTGTTTTCCTTCCACTCCACTTTTTTTTCCCCCATTTTAATGACTCCTTTTTTCTTGTAAATCCATTTTAATCACTCTTATATATATATATATATATATATATATAGATCTATTGGTTATAGATCTATTGGTTATATGTAATGTACCGATAACATTAAAAAGCAGTTTAAATTATTTACAATAATCTACATAATTAATCAATTATCGTACGACGTCGTTTTCGAGAGGTGGGGGCATTGCACAAACTCGAGGACACGGAGCCACTTGCATGCGCGTGGTAGGCGACAGAACCGTACGGTGCGAGGCGTGGGGCCCGACGGGGGGCCTTTCTGTAATTATTTGGATAAGTATGGGCAGTTTCGGTTTTTCGAGATAGGAAACTGAAATATGCGTGCGTGTGTGTGTATATATATTGTTTTCAGAAATTTTTTTTTTGAGAAAATTAAGGTGTCTAATTAATCATACAAAAAATGTATATATCCACCGGCGTCGCATGCGTGACGGAAAAAAATATATTTCATGAACTATTTTCTTCGTCACGCTTTTTACATCGCAATTCTATAATGAAAATATTCATTTTGTTAGGTATAATTTTGGTAAAGAAATAATATTACAATAAGAGATTGCAGCTCGAACACTCCATCATCATATACATTTTTAGTGAAAAAAAAAGCGTTTAAAGATAAATTTATAACTAGCATGAAAAATCAAGAAATTCTTGTATTCTCATATTATATAAAAAATAGAATGAAATATATTGGAAACAATTCCATAATATAATCTTATTAAGAATACGGCTCTTAATAATAAAAAAATTATTTTAAATATAATCATACTAAGAATATGAGTCTTAATAAAATATTTGGTTTTTTTTTTTTTATTAAGCTTTGCGTGGAACTGGTTTTTTCTCCCCGTTACCGTAGAGGACAAGAATGAAGTGTCTTGGATTCCTCGTGGGCAGTCCTAATATTTACTAAAGTACCCTCTAAATTGTCCGAATTTACAGTTTGTGCCACAAGCAAGAAGAGTTCCGTAGGAGTTGAAGACAACAGAAGACACGGAGCGAACGCTCGTCGTCTCAAGAAGAAATTCAGACGAAAAAATATTGTGTAGCAAAAAAACATGGAGTTCGAGGAAGAAAGAAGGAAAAAGCAAGCGCCGTGAAGGAAAAGTCTTCGTCTCTCTTGAGCCTGGATCGATTTTGACTCGGTAAATCTGGAAGTTGCTGAAGATTCGATTCGGAGTTGTTCGAATCTGAAGAATTTTTTCTGGCTCTGTTTGATTCGATTTCGTGGTTGATTTGTTCGGAATCGTGTCAAAGACTTCTGGATTTTGAGCAAGAGTGCTGATAGCTGCGGTACGTTTGATTCGATTTCGCGTTAGGTATACGAAGTTTTTTCTTCAGCAAGATCTCGAGAGATGAGTCAGTGGAGATTTAGCGACTGAATAGTTTCCCTGATTTCTCTATTTACGGGTGAAGAATTTCCCAGAAAAGAAAGCTTGAAAGATTCGGTTCCTCGAGGAAAGACGCATGGTTTAGAAATTTCCGTTTTTGGGTTGATTTTGATTGTGCAGTTGCTGAAAGATCGAGAAGCTCGAGAGATATGGATGAGGCAGGCGCTCAGGTGGCTGCTCCGATCTTCATCCACCAGTCGCTTTCTCCGGCGGTGAGAAAACGCGATCTCTATTACCAGATGCCGAGTCTCCACCCACAAACGCAGACGCAGACTCTGCAGCGGAGAGATGACTGGAACCCTAAGATGTGGGACTGGGACTGCCGGAGATTCGAAGCCAGGCCCGTGGATGCAGAGATTCTCCGACATGGGAAAGACTCGGAGTTCAACGTCAGTGGCAAGAACGACAGTAACAGTGGTTTGACTTTGAGGAATAGCAGCGGTGGAAGTGAAGGAGCTGAGAGAAACCTTGATTTGAACCTCGGAAATGGTCTGAACGACATGGAAGAGACGCAGGCGAGCAGACAGAGCAAAAGGGTTCGGTCGTCGTCACCTGGAGGAGCAAACTACCCGATGTGTCAGGTGGATTGTTGTAAGGAAGATCTGTCCAGTGCCAAGGATTACCATAGAAGGCATAAAGTTTGTGAGCTTCATAGCAAAGCGTCTAAAGTTCTTGTCGGGAAGCAGATGCAGAGGTTTTGCCAACAGTGCAGCAGGTAGAAGACTGAAAGTCTTTTCCTTTTATGGGTACTGTTTAGTCTGTATGTCCAGTCACTGAAATTTCTGCATGTAGGTTTCATCTGCTGTCTGAATTCGACGAAGGCAAGAGGAGTTGTAGGCGTAGATTGGCAGGCCATAACCGACGACGAAGAAAAACCCAGCCGGAGGAAATCACCTCACGGTTTGTAGTTCCTGGAAACTGTGATTCGACCTCTAACCCTAATACGGATCTTGTTGCCTTCTTGACGGCCTTAGCTCGTGCACAAGGTACTTGTTAGCATCTGGTTTCGGGTTCTCTCCTTTCTTGTTGTCAAGCTTAGCTGTTGTTGATGTTTACAGATCTTTATCTGAATGCTCTGCAGGTAGGAATGAGGGTAAACCTATTGCTTCTCCTCCAGGTGTTCCGGACAGGGAACAGCTTCTTCAGATGCTTAACAAGATAAATTCATTACCTTTCTCTGCGGGTCTTACCTCAAAGTTGAACAACATCGGTCTTTTAGTCGGGAAAACCCCCGAGAACCCTTCGGGTAATTCCCAAAATGGTATGAACGAGACTTCTCATTCTCAGTCAACCTTGGACTTGTTAGCAGTTCTCTCTTCCACAGTGGCTTCATCCTCACCCGCTGCACTAGCTTTGTTATCTCAAAGTCAAAGGCGAATCGAGATCAACAACAGCGACAAGACCAAGTCAACTTCATCTGGCCATGGGACTACTGCCAATTTGGAAAGGAAAACTCGGGATTTGCCTTCGGTTGGCGGGGAGAGGAGTAGTAGCAGTCACCAGTCTCCTTCACAGGATTCAGATTCTCATATCCAAGACACTAGATCTAGTTTATCTCTACAACTGTTTACCTCATCACCCGAGGATGAGAGCCGACCCAATGTAGCCACTTCGAGGAAGTACTACTCGTCAGCGAGCAGTAACCCCGTCGAGGATAGATCTCCGTCCACATCTCCCATAATGCAGGAGCTGTTCCCGATGCAGAAATCTCCCGGAACGGTGAGGTCCAAGAACGACAAAAACACGGGTTTTAAGACCGGTTGCCTGCCCCTTGAGCTCTTTGGTGCAGCGGATCGAAGGGCCGAGAGTAATATTTTCAAGGGTTTCGGGCATCAGTCGGGTTATGCTTCGTCTGGCTCTGATAATTCTCCCCCGAGCTTAAATTCCGATGCTCAGGTATGCGGGCAAAATCGAGGTGATGTTATTGCACATCTGTGTTTATCGATAAAACACTTCATTTACGGGTATACGTCTTATTATCGGATTGAAACAGGACCGAACTGGGCGGATAGTTTTCAAACTACTCGGAAAAGATCCTAGTAATCTACCCGAGACGTTAAGGATTCAGGTGATAACTTCTTTGTCATGTTCTATGGATTCTTGTAATAAACTGTATAGAATCATAGTTTGCTTCCATCGGAATCTTCTGAACATTTTGGTCATTAAACTGTGTTTTTTCAGATCTATAACTGGCTTTCTAACATTCCATCAGAAATGGAGAGTTATATCAGACCTGGTTGTGTTATCCTGTCTGTTTACGTATCGATGTCGGCTGCTGCGTGGGAGCAAGTGAGTAAATTTCTTATTTCATTATTATTATTATCTTCTTTTACGATGGTATGAATGTTTGAAGGAAGTGTTTTTTTTTCCAGCTCGAAGAGAATTTGTTGCAACGAGTGAGTTTTCTGGTTCGAGATTCTCGTTCGGAGTTTTGGAGGAAGACGCGATTTCTGGTTTACACTGGCAGAAAAGTAGCGTCATACAAAGATGGTTAGCGAGTTAGTTAAAAGTTCTACTGTAGTGATGGATGCTTTTTGCATGATAGTAGCTAGGGTTAGAGACAAAAAACGAATTTCGGATACTTGAGCACTATATGAGATGAGATCGAGTTATAATGTGAGGAAAACCCGAAAATCAGGTTTAGATAATTGGGTCCAAGATGAAGTAATATCTCGTGAGACCCGAGACATTTGGGTAACTAAAAATTCGGGTACCCGACTCGTGCTCACCCCTAATGGTTAGCTCACGGTCATTTCTATGCAATGTTGCAGGTAAGGTTTGGCTGAGAAAATCTCGGAGAACGTGGAGTTCCCCGGAGTTAATCTCAGTTTCACCAGTTGCTGTTGTGGCCGGGAAAGAAACAACCTTGTTAGTAAAGGGTAGAAATTTGACGAACGACGGAATCAGGTGAGTCAAAATGAAGCCCTCATTGCTAAGTTTCGTGTTTTGCCTCGTCTTTCTTCTAACCTTTTCGTGACACTGTCCTGCAGGATACATTGTGGTCATATGGGTAGCTATGCCTCGGTACAGGTAACTTCATCGGCGTGTAAGAAACCCGGGTTTGACCAGTTAAATGTAGATGCTTTCAGAATCCCGGGGGAAAGCGATAGTTTTTGGGGACGCTGTTTCATCGAGGTAGGATTTCAGATATCGAACTTATGCTGCACAATCTTGAGCCAGGATTTCAATCCTTCCTACTATGTGAATAGGTGGAGAACGGATTCAAGGGCGACAGTTTCCCATTGATCATTGCGGACGCTACCATTTGCAAAGAGTTGAACCACCTTGAAGACGAGTTTCACCCCGAAAGGCGGGTCCATGGAGATATCACGGGATCGAGAGAGGAAGTTCTGTGCTTCTTGAATGAGCTCGGATGGCTTTTTCAGCGGAATATGACCTCTGACATTAATGGCGATCCCGACTTTGCTCTCACCCGCTTCAGATTTCTTCTCGTCTTCTCAGTCGAAAGAGACTACTGTGCTCTCGTCCGAACGCTCCTGGACATGGTTGTAGAGAGAAATTCGGGTAAGGACGGTCTAAACAAGGAGTCTCTCGATATGTTGGCCGAGATTCAGTTACTAAACCGCGCTGTCAAGAGGAGGAGCAAAAAGATGGCTGAAATGTTGATTCATTACTCCCCGAATCCCGCTCCCGATGCCTCGAAAAAGTTCATCTTCTTCCCCGATATGGCTCGAGCTGGCGCTTCTACACCGTTGCATCTAGCCGCTTGTACGCCGGGTTTGGATGATATCGTTGATGTGCTGACAAACGACCCGCAAGAGGTACATTCTGTTACATTTCCTGTGAATCATCGGAAACTAATTAGCATTTCCCGTTCGTTGCTAACCCGAAACGGAATGTTTTTACTTGTCTTTTCTCTTCAGATCGGGTTGTGTGGCTGGAACTCCCTACGAGATGCAAGAGGGCACACTCCATACAGCTACGCGGCAACGAGGAACAACCACGGATACAACGCCTTGGTGGCCCGAAAAATCGCGGATAAAAGAAACGGCCGAGTATCTATAAACGTCGAGAGCGATTGGATCGATCAGACAGTAGGTATGAACAAGAGATCATGCACGACTTGCGCAACGGTGGCTTTGAAGTACGAGAGAAAGGTTTTGGGTTCTCGCCGAATGTTCCCGACACCGATCATCCACTCGATGCTCGCCATTGCCACGGTCTGCGTCTGCGTTTGCGTTTTCATGCACGCCTTCCCGATTGTTCGGGAAGGCTCTCATTTCAGCTGGGGAGGTTTGGATTTCGGCTCCATGTAACGACAGAACAAGCGAGAGATCGAATCCGAGGCAGTGTAAAAGGTTTATTCTTCCGTTTTCGGTGAAAACTAGGAGTGGTGATTCACTCACTCCTGTCGGGAGCCTTTTGGAAAAACAAAGCCGGGGGACCGAGTGAAATTCCGAAGCCGCCCTTCTGAGATTTTCAAAAGAGGAATGACTCATGGGGGTATAGTTGGAATTACGCTGCGATAGTTGTTATAGTATATATGTTTGTCTATTTATGTTTTCATTTCTCTTTTTTATTGCCTTTTTTTTCCCCATAAATATAAAATTAAACACGGCGACAAAAGCCAAAGCTGAAGCCTGTAAGAAGCATTGATACAGTTTTTTTTTTTTTTTAATTTTTAGTTTTATTTTCGTGTTTAGAGTGTCTTGTCTTTTGTAAAGTGTACCGAGTAGTTCGAGAGATGTTGTAGCTTGTAGCAATACTCTCTGGTAATGTTATGTTTGGCTTTTTGTCTTAAGAAAAATGAATGAAAAGAGTTATAGACAAATATTTGAATACAAAAAAAAAATAGTATTTTTTTAATAGAGAAAAAGAAAAAGATGGAATTATTATTGGGATTCTGTGAAAACCTCTCTCTGTGATTAGCTCTCTCTTCCTATGTTATTAGAAGTTGAAAGAAGAAGAAAAAAAACTTATTATCCACTTGTTTAATATTTATTTTAATCCTTTCTATTGCAACTTGACCACAATAGATTTATAAAATATAAAATTGGAAAAAGAAATCAAGGATAACTTATATGGACCCACCAATCTTAGGCCTTTTATATAGTTTATATAAATACAATTTGCTAGCCGCCAAAGCTTTTGTTAGTTCGATCTTTACTAAACCAAATCCGAATATTTGGAAAAGTATTCTCCAATTTGGAAAAAAGAAAAGAAAAGAAAGAAACATTGCTTTGTCCATGTTTTATGAAACCGGCAAACAAATCTTTCCGGTTTGCTTATTTTTTGTAAAATTTGGTACGTTTTGGTAAAAAAAAATCGATTGTTCAAATTGGTTAACAAATTAAAATTAGTTTAATTTTTTCTGTTTTGGTTTAGTTTGGAACCTTTCATATATAATAACTGAATTCAATTTCCGAATCCATCATTCGAAATTAAGTCAAAGTATTATGATCATTATTATCACTATTATCATTACATAAACACGTACATATGTATGTGAGCATATACACACACACACATACATACATATATCTAAACGTACAGTGTACGATCATAATACAGAGGACTACGAAACACGTACAAGAGATTCCGTTCTGATAACTCGTCTGACCACAGAATCTAAAATATATACAAAGACATGTATGTCGTAAGTTCACACGTGGCAGAAAATGGCGCATCCTATGATTATAAAACCATCGAGGTCGTGGGCCCACATTCAAACTGTTAATCCGACGGTTCTGGATAGGCCACGCAGGTTTAGCGAAGGATAGAGACTACTAGACCTGGTCCAGGGGTAAAAGCGTCCGACATATCATAAAAGTTTGTCCGAGAAAAACGCTTCTCATCGACGGTTTAGATTTAACCTCCAACTCTCTTCTGTCTCCTCCTTAGCCGTCCGATCTTTCTGGCTTTTCAACCTTGCCACGTCACTGCCATTTATCAGTTGCATTAAAAAAATACCCATCATTGACTCTACCCATATTAAAACAAAGATAAAAAAAATGTAAATAGCAATATATATATATATACACATATATATTGTTATTATTAAATGAATTTCCAATGAAATATAAATGCTGAAAATTATTGTGATCACCTTAAACCATCAGCACCATCATCATCATCTTCTTCTTCTTCTTCTTCTTCTTCTTGTACTGTACTCTCTCAGAAAATCAATCGTGGAACAAAGAAAAGGTTTCATCTGTCTGAATATCTATTTCAATCTTAATTTGTCTGATTAGATACGTATATATATCTATATATATAAGCCATATATTCTCACCAGAATCATGCTCTGTTTTTTGTTCTCTCTGTACTTGCAGGTTACTCTGGAGCTCGCAAAGCTGGCAATCGCAAATCACAACTTCGGGGCCATAAAGGCCAATCGCAAGAAAGTCAAAGTCATGGTGATTCATTCATTCATTGACTTCTCCCTTCGTTTCTCTCTATGATTTTCCTCTGTAAAAAACTCCCATTTATTTCTTGGGTTCTGAATTCAGGGGCCGATGATCAGAACAGAGGATGAAAATCTCTGTCCTTCGTGGCTAATGCCGATGCTTCGAGCGAGTTACTTCGTGCCCTGTTCGATCCACGCCCATTCGAACAAGAACGAATGCAACATGTTCTGTCTCGACTGCACCGACCACTCCTTCTGTTCTTACTGTCTGATCAATCACAGAGACCACCGTCTCGTTCAGGTTGGTTCCATCTTTCTTCAAAGAAAGTTTCAATCTTTCGTCTCATTTCGCAAGACCCTTATGAAAAAGAGTCGCAGATTCGAAGGTCATCGTACCATAACGTGGTGAGGGTGAATGAGATTCAGAAGTATATAGACGTCTCTTGTGTTCAGACATACGTCATAAACAGTGCCAAGATCGTGTTTTTGAACGGACGGCCTCAACCCAGAATCGGGAAAGGAGCTGCAAACACTTGCGAAGTCTGTTTCCGAAGCCTCCTTGATTCTTTCCGCTTCTGCTCCCTCGGTTGCAAGGTTCTGCTCTTTCTCCTGCCCCTGCTTTCATTCATTACGGTTCCATCTCTTTGTCTGAAATCCAACGACAAAATGGCAATTTTTTAAATATATAAAAAAAAAAAACAAAGCCCATCACTCATCAATCGTATTAGATGTCATTCAATCCATTTCTTCTCGTGTTTCTGTAGATTTTTTGTGATTTTTGATCGTGTGAATATCCCCTGTTTCGCGCGTTGGGTGGAAGTGGATATGTGAAATGACGGAATTGCCCTTGCAGCTGGGTGGGGTGAAGAGAGGAGACACGACCCTAACCTTCTTTCTGAGAGGGAAGCATGGGAGAGACTGCCAAGAAGGGGCGGAATCAGATGAGACGACCACACCGACCAAGATCCGTAAGACCAGCGCTTTCAACCGTCTGATCGACGGCCTTTCCATCTCCACCGTCCGATGCAACATCCACGGCGGCGGACGGTTAGATCAACGGTCATGGAGCTCCGGCGACGAGGCCGGCCTAAATCTGTCTCCGGGGACTCCTCCGATCTACAGTCACCGGAATTCAAGTCGGCGGAAGGGTGTTCCACATCGTGCTCCGTTCTAAATAATTATATTTCACCCCCACACTTAAGAAAATATTATATGTGATTATATAAATTTTAGAATATGTCCATAACATGAGATTATAGTAAAAAAAATGTAACTTTTTTTGTCTTTTAGTTTACAAACGACTGTACACATTTTTTGGTCCTTTTTTTTATGTATAATTAAATACTAAAAATTAGAATATATGCATGAATGTTAATGTAGCATGTTTAGTGAGGGCATGCTTAAGGATATTTTTAATTCGAATATACCTCATTTAAATAAATCTTTCATCATACTATATATATATATATATACGTATAGTTTTGTCAGATTTTAGATACCAAATCAACGTTTTTGAAATTTTATCAACCAAGTTCATCATTATATATAATATATACTTATTCTGCAACAATTGGTGCTGATTTTTAGACTAAATTGTAAATAATAAAGCCTATCAAATAAACAAAGTATAGTTTAAAAAAATATTTTATGGATTTCTTGTATCGTTTATTTAATCTTATATAATTGCATGAATCTTCTTTCTGGTGCGATCTGTTCCGTGAGATCACGTTGTAGTGAAATGTACGAGAAAAATATAGGAATTGTACTTTGATATACGTAATATATAGAGGTGGGCGTTTTAACCCGTAATCCGGGGGTTTGGAGGTACCCGGCTTAACAAGTACCCGAATAAAGGATACCCGAATATTAACGATGATGAGATCGAGCATTAATAAGACTAAGTTTTCGACTCCCGAGTCCGAGTGGGGGTTTAATTATTTTTCAAAAGGTATCCGGGGGTATCCGGTATATTTGTTAAAAATCTAAAATATATTTTATATCTATAATATTTTTATCTAAATTATTCTTATTATTTATTAAAATACTTTTATTTTAGTTCAATTTTTTTTTATGTTATAAACCTTTTTATACAAAAATTTTATCATTTCAAATCTCATTCTATGTAACCGAATCAACCATTCATCTCTTTCTCAAAATTTTACTCATCTCTCTTCATCGTGAATTTTTCTCTTTATACTTTGACCTCTCTCATTTGTATTTTCTATATCTATCATTTTATAGTTCAAAATTTTATAAATCGTATGGGTCCGGGTACCCGCGAGTACAATACCGAGAATCTCATTAAACTCGAGCTACAAGTATCCGGATTTTATAAAGCCAAGATTGAGATAATATTTTTGTAAAACCCGTGGTAATGAAGACGAGACAGGGTTTTCTAAAAATTGAGGGTATCCGACCCGTGCCCACCCCTAGTAATATATATATACACACACGCGTGCACACACTCGAAATCTAGAATTGTTATTTATTTAAATTTGGATTATAATAATTCGACAATATATAAGAAGGCATTACAGTGTACACCCACTTGTTGATGGACTTATCCGACATTTCACCGTTCACCAGAGCTTTTTACATTTCCCTCACTGGGTTTGCGCCACGTGTCATATGATACCATTGATGTCTCGGCACGTTGTATTTAGACAATGTGGGACCCAACGGGCTTTTCTTCCCGTCTTGAAACTTTATATTTATTTACGAGTTACTTTAATTTGCGTATAGGATTAGGATATAACATTAACATTTTATTTTATTTTTCTTTATTTTCGTTTATTTTAAAAAATAATTTTTATGAATTTTTATTTTAAGCATTTTAATTTGTCACAAGGAAAATAATTTCAAGAGAAATCCCATGTTTTCCTCGGTTCGTTTTATATTTTGGTGTATAAGATACACTTCGAACTCTTAAGACTCTTCAAACTCTAATATCATAACAAACTTTATAAAAATATTAGCATTTCTATAATTATTCATGATTAAAAAAAATATATATATATATAAGGTGAATTAAATGGGTAGTGGGGGAGTGACATCGAGATACAAATAAAAAATAGAGAAGTAAACACTGAACAAAGGATAAGATTCTTTCTCGATAAGGCTTTTGCCTAGTGGCATCACAATTTCTGGCATATGCGTCAGTCATCCTCCCTAATATATTCTGGTTTGATTTGATTTAATTTAAAGTTTAGAATTAAATTTCTGTTATGCTATTCATGTTTTGAGGAATTAATAAAAAAAAATAATACGTTATTTGTTTATACAACCATGAAGCAACCCCTTTTTCAGCAACCGCTTGGTGACATTTTGATTCCAAATTCAAGGTTTTAGGTTATATATATATATAGTTAGATATTGTGCAAAATTAATTTTATTCCAACTTATGTTATCACAAGAACAAAAAAAAAAGTTTCCATTACTTTTTTTCTTTTCACTTCAGTATAATTGTTTTTAGTTTTCTTAACAAAATCGTCCAAAAAATGATTATTAAAAAAATGTCCGAATTAAAATGTGAACTGCCATCAATCTAAAAAATCTTCAATTTTTTACAGAAAAAATCTTCATTTTTATTGATTTATCCATCTTCAATTATATTTAGAATATATTTATCTATTCTCATAAAATACTTTAAATTTTATAGTTTCATAAACATAGCTCTTTATGTAGGTAAATAATTGATTTAAATTAGTGTTTTTTTAAATATCGGCATCATTTTATTTTGGGCCCATTATACAACGTTACTAAGTAAATGGGCTCAGTTAAATGAGGGCCCAATAAAGGCATAACATGTCCCACATATTTCTTATATTGATATTGACAAATCGTGTCTACTGCAACCCTATATTGCTGAGATTCGAATTCGAAATAAAATAAACTTTTACATCTTATTTTACCCGTTGAATTATCTAAATTTAGATCACAATAATTTTTTTCTTGTCCCTTGTTTTCTTCATTTTCTTTTTCAAATAAGAAAATTTAAAAGTGCTATAGTATATATAATTAACTAAACAAATTCTGAAATTGTGCAGAAACACTCGCGACAAGAAAGATATATAGATAAATATTTTGAGCATTTAACCGGAATTTAATGGAAAATATGGAAGAACTCAGAAGTTACCTACCAACACGGTTACTTTCAAGTTTCAAGACTACCATAAATTAGGAATATTTTTGGCGGGGATGACGTGCGCGTGAGTCTTTATATATACTATATATATATATATATATATATATATATGAGTTGCAAGGATTAAGAGTTCAATTTCTTACATGCAATTTATTGTTTATTTTATTTTTACCAGTTACTAGTCGTGAATCGTGATCGCTGTCGTGTTGCAATTTTAAAGTTTTAAAACAAGATTCATTGAAAATGCACGAGAATTTAATTATTTAAAATATTAAATTGGGACGTTTTTCTCAATGCTAGTGATAAATATTAGAATACATTAATCATGTTAACATAATCACCCTCTTGTGATTATTCACTAAATTACAAAATTAATATTTTTAATTGTTGTGAATTGACTCCGTACGTCAATCAAAGTGTTTGAAAAAGATTTTATAATATATATATATTTGTTGCATGGAAATGGAACCGGCGGTAACAGACAAGTCAAATACAAGTTGCGGAATCTCTGTCTTGTGCCCCAAGTTTTCGTTAAGTCACGTGTTACGACTCACTTAGCCTCGTGCCATGTCATTGCTTACTTCTCCTACAACTCCGGATTCTGTTTATATTTTTTCATAACATATGAACCTTAAAATTTATTCATCATATATTATTATTATTATTACTATTATTAAATGATTTCTGAATTTTTATGGGGAAATTCAATGCGTTAATAGAATACCGTGTATTTTTATATTTTAGGTTGGATTTTCTATTTTAGTTATATGAATGAAACATTTTATAACATTTTTGTAGTTAACCGCGTGAATATGATAATAGTTGTTAGTTCAGTCTTGAGACGAGTTCATTAATTATTTATTCTTAACTAGGTAAGACCCGCGCGATGCGCGGTTTATTATTCGTATATATACTTAAAGTATTTATATATTTTAGTAAAGAAATGATATTATAATAATTTGTTTGAGTTAGATTTATAATTTTAAATATTTTTTATGTATATCATAAAGTAATATCATCTTATATTGATGGCTTTCATTAATATGCATTTTTGTTTTTGTACGTAGCTATATAATCTTATGCGTATTATTTATATATCTTGTGTTGTCATTATAAATGTAAGATATATGATTTTCAAACCAGGTGCAAAAGTCCTAACACAATAAAACACATTTAAATTGGCAGATATAAAAAAAAAAGAACATATCGTAACTAAAAAAGTATTGATGTTTTGATCTTATAATATTAAATCATGTTGTTTTAAAACATAATTAAATCAATGATATAGTAATGATATCGCTTCGTCGATGAGGTATAAGTTCAATGGGGATGATATGTTGGGACGTTGTGCGGTACCATTGTTTTCCTCCGTTTGCGGTTGCTGAAAAAATTGTGGGTAGGTAATAAATTAAATCATTCATTAAATATGATTCATATAGTTTGTATCAATAATGGTATAGTGTATTTACCTTAGGCGGAAAGTTCTGATGACGTTGAGGTTTTCATCTATGTAAATTTTGGTAGACATTGATGTGCTAAGCGATACAACACCTGAGATATAGAATGTATTAGTATGCTTAATATAAAAATGATCTTGGTACTTAAATATTAGACTGTAAGTATTTATGATTGTGTGAGTGTTTAATAATTACCGTCGATAATCTTTGGGTTTACACCAGTAATGACGATGATACTTTTTCGAATACTCAATCTGTGTATTTGTGACCGTAGTTGTGCGGCGAGATCATCCCATATACAAAGCTTGACAATGTTGTTGCTGTGTTGTATATGTCAAACTAATTATATTCAATTTATAAGACAATTTATCATGCACTGGAAATAAATGTTGGAAACTTACTCTTTCAATAATAACCGGAGGATTATTTTTTGCGTTGACGATGACATATGTAAGTTTGGTCCTTGAACTGCAACCAAAACTCCAATGATATCTGCAACATGAGAGCATAGCTTGATTATAAACCTTTTGAGTTATTTCTATGGTGTTCGTTATATGATAACACGTACCTGGCAAATATTGCGTTTTGTTTGCCAATGCCACTAAATCAGTGTATAAACGTATTTGGAATTTCTCTTTGATAATATCACATGAGGTGGAATCAACCATTTTAACAATAGTATATTCCGTAAAATAAATACGGAATTTATGCTCCGTTAACTTGTATCTGTTGTTATTGTGTATAAGCTTGAAATGGCTGATAACAAATATATCTTCCTCGTTTATGATATGTTTAAATTGGGCTGTCAATATTTTTCCTTCAACAACATCCTCCTGCAATGTTGTTAATGGAGAAGATCACATTACTGATAATAATAATGTTATTTAAAAAGGTAAGGAAGACGTACATTTTTGTCAATTAATAAGAAGCCGATGCCACGATATTCATTTCCATTGAAAGGATTCCTTTCATCCCACGTCCTTAAAAATCTGACCATGATTGATCCATGATTGTGATGTCTTGAGTTTTCCAAACTTGCATGGGTTGATATCACTGATTGGAGTTGATTTGTCCATTCCTACGATGGGATTAATCTAATCAATAATGACATTATGTATAATATAGACTATGTGATCATTACTTTAATGAGGAAAAAAACATCGGTTTGAACGGAGTAGAAATATACTTACACATAATTCGCGATGGCATGATCCTGTTAAAAATATAAAGATTATTATTAGTATGAGAATGACAATATGATAAACTTTAATTGATGTATGAACATTACCAGATTTTTTTCAGTTATATATATGGTGCCTTTCATATTCGCAATTTTACTTTATCGTGTACTTGTTTACATATGTGTGAAAATGATGGGTATTAAGTTTCTTGTTATTTAAATCTAACCTCATGGTGTTGGTAATCCGTTGAAAATTTCCGGGTAAACAATGTTGGTGATGGCAGATTTGTCATCAGAGTATTCCGTATCATCTAGGATTTTTAATCCTTTTGCAGAAGTAACACGGGAGAGTGCGACATATAGTTGACCATGGCTGAAGACTGGACGTGGGAGGTATAAGACTACTTGTTTCAAACTTTGTCCTTGGCTTTTATTTATTGTCATTGCGTAGCAAAGTCTTATTGGAAACTGTCTTCTTCGAAGTGTGAACGGATGTTTTGAATCTGTTGGCGAGAGAATAATTCTTGGGATAAGTACCTTATTCCCACTGTTTGGCCCAATCATAATCTCTGCCTCCAAAACTCTTTTTCCCAACTGAGTTATTATTAGCCGTGTCCCATTGCACAGTCCTTCCTTTTGATTGATGTTTCTTAGCATCATCACGGGGGCTCCAACTTTTAGATGTAGTCGATAACTCGGTAATCCAGGGAATTCCAGGGAGTTTAGATATTCGACGGGGTATAGGGTTTGCCAATCAGTTCCTGGTGCGTTATCAATGCCAATGCTGTCTGAACTTAGATACTCTGTTGCTTGTCCCGGTATTTTGGAGAGAATGAATGCATTCACTTCATCCACAGTTTCGTTTCTAGGTGTTAAGATTGCTCTCTCTGTTAGATATGCTTGATCTAAGAATGAGTTTAGGAACCGGGGATACGCAGCATCTACAATTACTTGTAGCGGGTCACCCATGCTACAGAGCATTAAGGTCTCGTCTATTAAAATTTTGTTCTCCCCAGTCGATGCGTTAGTGTTTTCATCTATTTTCCTTGCTGTCCCATTCCCAACTTGCAATATCCATTTTGCAAACTCTATTTCAGATCGGTTAAGTCTCAAGTTACGTGTTAACATATAGACGTTGCACGCTGCCCATAGATATGAACGACTTAATGTTGCAAGGACGGTGTCAGGGCGCCCTCCTTGTTGAACCACAGGTAATATTTGTCTGAAATCCCCTCCAAGCAGTACAGTTTTCCCTCCGAATGGCTTATCTGATGATGATTCATCGTGAATTGACATAAGATCTTTGAGTGTACGATCTAGTGTCTCAAATGTGTGTCTGTGTGCCATAGGGGCTTCATCCCAGATGATTAATTCTGTTCTGGCTAGCAGTTCTGCCAACATAGTCCCTTGCTTTATATCGCATGTTGAAGTGTCATGAACATTTAAAGGGATTTTGAATCTCGAGTGAGCTGTTCTCCCACCAGGTAGAAGCAGTGCTGCAATTCCTGACGATGCCACCGGGAGTACAATCTTTTTTTCTGACCGAAGCTTTGAAATGATTGTTTTGTATAAAAATGTTTTCCCCGTCCCTCCGGCTCCATATACGAAGAAAAGTTTTCCTCTTCCATTATCAATAGAATCTATTACAGCATCGTACACTGTTTTTTGATCTTCATTCAGGCAAGGAAACAATTTTTGGTGTTCTTCTTTCTCTCGTGACTCGTCAAACTGCAATTCCTCTCTCAACAGAGTGTTTTCGATATGACGGAGGACATTTTTATCTGGTTTCGGCATGTTCGGAAAATCCCGTAATGATTTTTCATTTTGCATGAGTAGCTTCTCAATCTCTATAAGAGCATATTGTTGCAGTTCATTATCTGCCAAATATAAATTTGGGAAGCTGAACTCCTTTTGTTTCTTGTGTTGGATGTCTTCCGCTAGTGGCTTCCAACACTTATCCCAAAGTTTATGCGGTTCTCCAACTTCGCAATACAAGAGAAGTGTAACAAATAGATGACGCAATTGAGCCGCACCTGCCCATTTTGCTGCCTCCTCTATCGCTTCATTCCATTCATTGTCACCACCAAGTAAACCTCTAGCTTGGCATGCTTCTTTGAAGGTATTGTATTTGACACCGGCAAATGTATAAATTTCGTCGTAATTTCGTGGTCCTTTCACGATATTTATCAACATCCTTAAATAATAAAGCTCCCCTGCAGCTGGATGTATGTTTACAACGCGACCAACATTGAATCCTTGTTTCCTTTGAGTCCAGTATTTACCAGTGTTATTCCATACATACTTTGTTGGGAATTCTACATATGTTAACCCTCTTGCTTCTTCATACTGGTTGTTGGTGTTCATCCATTCAGTAAACATTGTTTCCCTTGTGCCTGGTCGTGAAACAACACTTTGTAGATTCGTTGAATCATCAAATATCAAACTTTGTTGATCCGGGAGATGTATCGATAATCGTGTGACCGGAGGTCTCTGATAATGTATATGAAAAGAAAATATTCTCCACGCTGCCTCACATGCAGATAAGTAACGACATTCTAAGTAGTCGTCGATCTCATTTTTCTGATACACCTGCCCTGACTTCTTATCTGTTTTCTGCATTGTGGTCGTACCTTTCTGAATAATTATTGTTGCCTTATCCACCCCTTTTGTGATGTACTTGAACAGATATTTGATAGCTGATGATTTACTGCACCATTCGACATTGATGTGTGCCTTGTATTTCTTCAAAATCTGTAAGTTATGTGGGACAACAAAACGATTATCTAATCTTACATCTCCTTTCATCACAAATTTTGTCACGTCATTCCGGCGTCTGTATATGATATATCCTGATTTATCAACAGTTGTATGCTCAGTGTAACATCGCGGATATTTTTTCGTACATTTTCCTTTCTCCATGCAAGGCGAGCGTGGTCTGTGTGAACCGCATGGCCCATGCATCATATGTTGTTCAACCAATTTGAATCCTTCGAAATCAGTTTCTTTATCCGGCAACTCTGCTGAAATTAGTTGATCGATGTCATTTGCAGTAGGGGTCTTGTAGATTGGCTCCAACCATAGAAGTATATGAGCATGGGGTAAACCTCGCTTTTGGAATTCGATGGTGTATATCACTGCAAATATTATTGTACAAGTGGTACACAAAGTTAATAGATTCATTTTCCAAAATGTTCTATGAATATTATGTCATATACCATTAAAGAGAAGAGTTTGCTTTGGTTTGTACCTGCTATTGGCTTTGGAAAGAATACGCCTTCACTGAAATCAGATAGTATATCATCCAATTTCATCTTGAATACACGACATTCAATGTCTGGCCGGTCGAACGCAGAATCACCGCCATAAGCATTAAGGTGATCAGTTATCTCTTGCCATTTTGGATTTGCTGTCACGGTGACAAAAAGATCTGGATTCCCAAACCATCTGCATAATGCCATCGCATCATGGTATTTTTCAACCATGTATCGTGGTCCTCCGGTAAATGAGGGTGGCAAAATTACCCTTCTGCCCAATACTTTAGCATTTATGTCACCTTTGTCTACTGCATCAAAGACATTATTATAAAGATCCGCTCTTAGTATCTTTTGATTATTTCTGGTCCATCGTATTCTTTCTTGTTCTATTGTAGTGTATGCATCAACCACATACTGCTGGAATAGACGTCCTGCTTTGACAATTGTCATTCCTTCAGATAATCTTGTTTGTATTTGATACGCATAGAACTCTCTTATGGTTACAAATGACCTCTTGATGTTGTTCCTCTCTTCTATATACGGGATTTCTTCATTGAAGCCATACTGGCCATAAGGAAATAACAACGGGTATTGCAGACTCATAAACAACGGATGGAGATCACTTATTCGATGCAATCGGCTTGATGCCTTCAGCTCTAAAACAACATCTCGCTCGCCAGTCGTTGTTGACATGTCACCGACGATCAACCCTGCAATCTCCTCACTGATTGGCAGTTCGTATTGCTTACCACGCCTTTTCTGCTCAACAATAGTGATTCTAAAATCTTGAATGTCTCCTGATTCATAGCGGTCTCTTGCTTTTCTAAAGATCTTTGCTAGACAATTGAAATCGTCCATCATCTGAATAAGACCAGCTACAATTTTCCCATCTAAATCTCCAGCAGTCGATGTCCGACTCAGTGTACTCAAACGATTGCGAACTTCATTTGCAGTATCATATATATAAAGCTGTGCAAACTGGGGTGGCTTCCCTTCCACTGGTAGTAAAGATCCTATTTGGTGGTGGTTCTGCCCGTGGATTCTAAACGCATATGGACCATTCCCTGATGTTACCGAGTGATCTATTTTTGCACCAATTGATGTGAATGCAAGCATTGAATTGTACGCTCTTATATTTGTACGAAATGCAGTAGAGTGTTTGTATAGCTCATCAAGGAATTCGGGAGGATCAGGCACTGGTGGTAGTTTGACTCTGCCTTGCATACAACATATGTTATACAAAAAAGTCCCTTTGCGTCCCTCCTGGCGAATACTCTCTTTTTGCCAGACTAATGCATCACAATTTGGACAATGTAGGAGATCACCATTGGTAGAACATGTTTGAGCGTTTTTTCCTGTATTATGCATATATTGCTTTGAAATAATATATATGTAATACAATAATTTATGACTAATGGTATTTGTCTTGCTATTAAGGTTGTGGTTATTGAATTTGTTGTTGTCCATTCCCCGAGATATATTTTGTAGTTATGTGCAACTCTATTAATAAATTTAGGATGGGAACATTTTCCCACCAGCTGAGTAAATGTATTTTAGCGAGAATATTCGTGTTATATTATTTTAAATCTATTTTTATATACAATGATTATTTGTTTAACTTATACCTTAAAAATATATTTCTCAAGTTTTTTTATGTTTTCTACGGTGGAATGTGTTGTAATTATCTGTGATTTTAAAATGCGGAGTAAATTTCATTAATTCATTTGTGTGTTGTTTTGTATAATAATTTTTATGTCTACAATTCTTTTGAACATAAGTGGGATAAACACGTAAATTTCATACCTTTTGCGCGACGGAGTGCATGCTTGGCTAATATGGTCGCTCGTCTTATAGAGCGATTCTTTGCACATTGTACTGCAAATGAAGTTAGACAATTTTAATTAAAAAATCATTAAAAAATCATTCAATTAATAGGTTATGCATAATTTTGTAATTTTTTTTTTACTTTAATGCACAATCTTATATATATATATATATATACACTATATTTTTACCCTTTCTTTCCGTAATGGCAGCGGATTCTTGTATAACTTTACCGGTTGACCGATATTTCTCAGCAAGCCATGGACGTTGATTAATACAATCCCCCCAAAAACCTATAATTGGGAAAAATAAACCAAAAAATTGGAATAACAACTATTTATAATAATGTTGGAAACATAAGTTGCCGGTATAAATGGTAAATAATATTTGGAATTAGACCATACCTTCTTTGACGCTGTCTATTTCTGCACGGTTGTGTGTCGTATTTGTTCTGGGTTTGCGCATCTTGGCAATAGTCAAACTACGAATTTTATACATTTAAATTTCGAAAGTACTTAGGAATTGTTAGAAATTGAAAACAATTCTAATGCTGTAATATCAACCATGTTTTATCTCTTAGGGTTAAACCAATACAGCAAATATGCGATATATAATTAGATGAAATTATATATAAGTGTTTTCAAAGTTCACGATCTTGCTTATCCATATAGTTACGCAACAAAGTTTCTTATTAAATACTTTATACAATTTATAAAATAAAATTATCGAAACTATTAATACAATCTATAATGGATAGTATTGTTATAAAAATTCAATTACCAAAAATACATACAAATGAGAATGTATAAACATATGAAAATAATTTTTTTTTTAAATGAAATTGTCAAACATTCAAATGATTATTGCGAGGCTTGATTAAATAATTTCTTTACGGCTATATTAAATTTTGAATGCTAAAATGTGGAAGATTCTTTGTATCTGCGGATATAGTTATTGGTTACAGTATTAATGTATTTTGGAAATTAAAATGTTTATTATTTACAGATATATTTTAATAATAAATTATGTACGTCACGATATTTTTTTTAAATTGGATTGTGTAATAATTTAAAAACATTTCCAGATCACCATTTCGCGTTAAAAGTTTCAAATGTTTCGGAGTTTGTTTGACAAAAGTACACACCGTCCGTCTACGCGTATTACGGGGATTTTGGTAAATTTCATTTTTAAAATATGCGTCACACTTTTAAAACTCCTAAACTTTTCATTTCCAAAACTGAATTGCATAACGTGTTTTTTAATTCCATTTCGTATTTGAATAATTGAATTTTGAAATTTGTACATATTCAAGTAGTGCGTTCATTACCACCATAACAAAATTATAAAAACAGAGCAAAATATGCGTTGATATGGTTATATTATATATATACGTATAAGATGTTGGGATTTACATTATAGTGGGTTTGGCATTTTAGATTTATGCAATACTTTATGAGATGTTATATGTTATTGGTAGGGATATGAAATAGGCCAAAACATTTTAAGATGTGAGGAGACACGAAATCAATCATATTCGTCGGTATTGTAGAATATTTCTGTTTTTTCCTAATATTATTCTTGGTTGAACCCTTTTTTCAAATGGAGGTGATAAATCAAATAGAAGTTCATATTTAAAAAAAAAAACATTATAGAAGTCCATATATCAAACCGGCTAAGGCTACCTAAATTTTTTAATAGATTGTATTCTATTATTTCTTTTCAAAGGGAACATCCCAATAGGCCAATACAATTGGAACCTGTAATTGTTATTATTAATATACAATCGGTACTCTCCCAAAATAACATGTGTGATATACCAAAAAAAGTACAGCTGTTTCGATGGAAGTAAGAACTGAAATTGATGTGATTTTACAAACTAACCTGGGGGTAAGAGAGATATGAGGATTCCAAATGGCACCCAAACTGGGGAAGTGTTTTTGAATTGTTTGTAAATATTTTGTTTATCGAAGCTTTGAACAAAGGACATGAGAAATGGTTTTGGTGTACTTATAAATAATAAGTGTATGTAATAAATAATAATCATGATTTATTATTATTCTAATTGTTTTTATGTGATTGCAACAATTTAGGAGTTTGTTTGATTGGATTGAGGAGTGTATTTGTCTTCGGGATATGTAACCTCCAAGCAGCATTATAATTGAGTAACGTTATTTTATTCAAAGTAATTATGTCTCATTTTAATACACATTATTGCTGTCAATTGTAGCCAGCATTATAATTGAGTAGCGTTATTTTATTCAAAGTAATTATGTCTCATTTTAATCCACATTATTGCTGTCAATTGGAGCCAACATAAATGTCGTAAAATTTATGAGTGCGTTACCCCATTTTACCAGAGTGAGACATATAGAATTACAAAAGTAGACAGCTTTAAAAAAAGTACTCCTCCTCAGATTAAAGGCATAATCAGCAAATCTTGTTATCTCTCTATTTGCGTAACGCGGAACTACTGGCGTATGCAGAAAAGTCAAGCGGGAGTTTGACCAGCGAGAAGCTGCTGCGGTCACTGGGGACTCCGCCGCTGTTACTACAGTACTGAAGCTGGTTGGCCGTAGGCGATGAGGATTCATATTTTTGGTGTTAGATTTACTTTTGTCATTTTTGGAATTCTCTTTCTCTCCAATTAGAAAACAAAAGTTATATACATATTTAAACACATAATATGTAAATTACATACACGTATCTCTAATATGTGCATAATTACATACATATATGGTGTTCTTGGTGGTTATGTACACCACTTCCGTGGTTGTGTAGTATTCACTTACTTGCTTGGTTGTGATCGCGCTTCAGATTTGGTTATAGCAAATGGTTTTTATTCATTATGTTGGTTATAGGACCTGGAGAAATGAGTAAAAGTGGTTGCCAAGGAGAAGGCGGTATGTGATGGATGATGAGTTGTTCTCCATTTTATATATTGCAGCTTGCGAACTAAGTTTCTAAACCCTGATGTTAATTCTGGGTTATAGGAGAAAGACACCAACCCTTTGTGGAGTGATTCGTTTGATATTGCTAATGGAAATGATAATTGAGTTGATTGTGTTGGTTGCCAATGCAGGGTTCTCAGTATCAGTTAGGCCACTTTTGTTTGAGGGTTGCCAAAGTATAGCCAATTACGTCCGAGAACTTGAAAGTAATTGGTAGTGGTACTTGATTCGTCATAATCTTGATAGAAATAAAAAGAAGCAGTGAAATTCAAACAGAATATAGGAATCCAAAAAGGGAAAATAGAAAAGACAGAAATTATAACTTTGAAATGGAGTTCGAATATTAAAAAGGGTTTTGGAAATGATATTTTTATTTGTGACGCGGTTTTTTCCCCAGCCTCTTTACATTCTGAGCTTGCGCTAACTCATGTGAGACCTCATTTGTATTGTCCTGCAATAATAGACATTATATTTTACATATGGTTATCAATACATTTTGTAAACAAAGATTTATGTTAAGTACCTTTGTGACATCTGTATCTTTGGGTATGTTATCTTTGGATCCCGATGCATCGTCAAATATACGGGACACAGTGAACGAATGATGCTTAGTCGTGAAATTATACGGTGTCACTTTGATTTGGAAAGTCATTTGTTTACCGATAATAGGTGTAAAACACTTTGGTATATCGCCAATTTTTCCTTCCACATCGACATTAAGCACCTATTTTTTAAAAAAAAAATTCATAGACAAAAAATAAAATAATATTCATTGTTAAAAATAGTTATGGGGATAACCAATAAACCCATAAATGACGGAGAAATTTGGAAAATGAAGAATAACTTACATTTGGTTCAATTGATTCTGAAGCACGAATGTTAAGTAGTTTAGTCATTTCTCTATCGAACACAGTGAAAAACGCTACATCTTTTCCATCTTGCACAACTAATTCAACCCGGAACCTTAAAAGATAAAATTTGTTGGAAATCCAATTGTGTTAATCATTGATATAAAAGAATAACGTTGCAATGAGATAGGGGAAAAAGTTTAGGGATACCTCAACACTCCGACTGCGTTGGTATCGTGGCAATAGTTGCAAACCATTGATGTCGATACTTTCGCTAATTTTCTAGAACACTTACCACAAGCGACATAGGTCCATCCATTTTTAAGGGAAACTTCAATAATTGTGGCTTTGCATAAAAACTCCGCTTCCTATATTAGGGTCAAAAAGAGATTATGTTTTTTCATAATTACATGTATATATTTAGATTATTAAAATAAGAGTGTAATAAGTTCAAATGTTTATTATGATTTTTTATTTGAATTGAGTTTTATCATACCTGACTTTTGGACAATGTTATGAAATCGCACAATTCAGATATAGAAACCGTCTCCATCTTCATTACCGTATGAACGGGCTGCTCAATCTGTAGTGCTTCATCTATATTATCTTTAAACCTATTTTAAAATATTACGACATAATTTATAAAAACTAATTAAAATACATTCATAGTGATTAAAAAATATAGAATTTAAGACATACATGCTAATGAATGTTTTGCTTGCATCAGCCTCATCATCAAAGTAAAACTTGGAAGCTGATGTTGTATTGAGGTATAAAATTCCTGCATGAAGAGAAACAATTATTCAAATTTATAATTATCTTTTCCAGGATTTAATATTTTATTATTTTAGTAAAAAGGGAAAGTATGAAAACACAATTAAGACCGACGCCACATGTTTTCAACTAATAGCTTAAAACTTAAAGTTACCACTATATAACATTTGAGGAACAAAGCACAAATGATAAATAAATAGGATTGCTATTGTAAATATAAATCAAACAAAAGAATGCATGTAAAGAGAGAGATAGGCGTAAAATAATACAAGCTTTACTTAGGTTCATCAAAATGATGTGGCATATTATTATGGGCAGTAGGTTTTTTATTTCTAAAGCTGTGAAACCATAATATTAACGAACATTAAAATCCCGGAACATAGTAATAATAATCATAATGATTTAAATAATACTAACAATAATTTTACCAATAATAATGGAATGCACACCCCTATCATACATGTATATGTGACAAACCAACACACTCAACTGTCAAAACTTTTATGATTAATTTAGGTCTATAATAATATAAAATTTGGATGTGGAATATAGAGTAGATATGTGCAAATATACGCAATAGTTTATCTCGCAAATTTGAGTACCGTAATATATTGTATGGTAATTGTAATTTTCATCCCCGAGAGAAACAATGTTTTTGGCATAATCTTAAAAAAGGTCTTTATAAAATATTACCTCCGACAAACTTAGGATTTATATTAGTCACCAAAATCACTCTTGGTTGTTTAGCTGTGTTCTCCAGTTTGAGACGGAATTCATCGGCTTTCGTCTCCCATGCAGTCATACGAATGTCTTGGTAACTATAACAATTAAACAAACACTTTTGAAAATAAAAAATGGCGAAAAGAAATATAACATTTGTTAGAATAATATTTTAACATTGGAAGTAAGGAAAATATAAATATATATACCTTGCCATTTGTAGGTCAACAACAACTCTTTGCTTGGATAACAAATGATCGTTGTTAGTATCTCTTATACGTTGGACTCGACCAATAACATCTTTGGTAACAAAATAAAATTAAAAAAAAATTAGTATCTTAGAAGACATACTTTTTGGAAAAATGAAAAATAAAAATAATCAACAAAGTTAATATGTCTATTCACCTGGTAATTCTTCATTTTTGTTAGCCAACGCAATTAGTTCATCGTAAGCACGAAACCTAAAAAACTCTTTTGGTATCTCGATAGTGGTTACTCCAACTTCTGATATATTAGTTCGTTCCGTGAAACGAATAGATAGTTTGAAATCAGTAAGCTTGAATAGATCGTTAGCCCTAACAACGGCAAAATCGGTTAGAAGATAAATAGCTCCTTCACGTAACACGTCTTTGTAGCGACTCAAAAGATGGCGACCAATAGATCCTTGTGCAACAGTAGACTATAAGGGAAAAAAAGAAAGTGATAAGTAATTTTTTTTTTGGAATAAGCATAGACATTTGTGATCATAAGAAACTTATAAATTTTGAAAACAATGCAATGAGGTTCGGTATACCTTTTCGTCAATGAGTAGAAAATCTACACTCATGAGTTCATCACCTTTTTTGACATTTCGAGCTTCCCAAAATCGTAATAAACGGCCAATTATTCGCTGCATTGGTCGACCGATCCGTAAATCACCGAACGTGATACATGGGGGAAGAGTGTCAAATCCAAATGAAGCCATTAGCAGTATAAAAGCAAATATAGAGGTGCTGTGTTTCAACGTTCGTGCAAATGGGAGTATTTCCTAGTAAACATGAAGGAGTTTATAATGGAGCATATTTCAAATTGCTACGGGAAACATTAAAATAAGACAAATATTTTGTAACTTCCCCTCCAAATAATTGAATAAGGGGACACGAATGGTCTCTAATTGGTGTTAAGCACTTCCCCACTTTGTGGATGTATGAATAATTGGTGTTAAGCGTTATTACCTTTAGTTGTATGGTAACCTTCACGTATTCCTGGTTTTAATACACATTTTAGTGGTGTTATTATTGCGGTGTTATTATTGCAGGAGTTATACACATATTAGTGGTAGTTATACTAACTTTTATACCTTTACAAATTCTCTTTTTAGTCCCATTTAAAAACAAACATGCGTGCATATTTATACACATAAAATATATACAATTATGTGTACACAATCACATACACGGTTATGTATATATATAAGCATACATATATACATATATACTTATAAAGTTGTACCGTTTATTTTTTAAACTATATATTATGTGGGTGAAATTTATTAGGAAGTTACAAATTTAACTGTTATAATCTAAACGCAAAACATATCTACATAATATATATCAAATATCATACATGTATACATACTATGTATACATACACACGTATGGATATATACATAATTAATTTGTATATGCAAAACATATGATAATGTGACGACTCAATTTTTGGTATCTTATTGTATATATATATACACACATATATACAATAGTTCACATGTACATATATATATATATGTGCATATATATTACATATATATATTCATACACATTGACATATACTTTACAAACAGACATAATTTTTTGTGTATTCAAAAATTTAAGCGACATACACATGCAATATATATATATATATACACACGTATGGATTTTCTATCTTTCATATACATGCTATATAAATTTAAGTGTACATGTATACACACCAAACTCATACACATGCTATATATGAGGTGAATGATGTAATTAAATGTTTATATAATGGAAATTATTGATAACCAATCAAGATCTCAAAAACTTCCACCTAGGATGCTTAGGTGGCTTCACCACAATCCTTTAAACACAATTATTAATATATATAGATTTGTGTCTCCAGCTTAGCGAGGTTGACAACTTGATGTCCAAAACTCAGAATCTGCTGACCTCAAATTCTACAATATATGGATAAGATCAATGCACAACACATCACATTATATTTGTCTTTCTTGGAAGAAAAAAAAAAATCTAATGGCACCCTTGTCAATATTGAGATATTCAAAATTATTGCAAATAATTAAAAAAAAAATACATAAATTTTGACAACAAAAACATTACATATATACATTATAAACATGACATATATACATTATAAAAAAACATGACATACATACATATATATATATATGGGTGATTAAATTTCCTAAAAATGGTTGTTTAAAAAGATTTTGAAAAAATGTCCATAAATAATCTAAAGGGCAACGAAGGGCAAAACGCGTGATTGGAAAATACAAACCAACTGCGGGTTTTCGGTTTTTTATTTTCCGGTTCAGTATTTGCTGACGTCACTCACCTGTATATATACCACGTCCTGATCGACTCCGGGATACGCGTTCTATTCTTGTCCATCACGTTTCTCTCTCTTCTTTCTCTCTCTCTCTCTAGAATTCAAATTTCATCTGTGATTACTTACCTGAAACCTGAAGAAATCGACGACAGCGAAATGGGGGGATGTGCATCAGTTGGTCGAATCGAGTTTGACTCGTCTCCGACGGCGAAGATCGTGACGGTGAACGGCGACCTCCGGGAATACAATGTCCCGGTGTTGGCGTCGCAGGTCCTGGAAGCCGAATCTATGGCTGCTTCTTCACCTTCATCTTCCTCTAGATCTACTTCATATTTCATCTGTAATTCCGATTCTCTCTACTACGACGATTTCATTCCTGC